GCTCAGTTCAGAAACAACGTATGTACCATTAGTTTCCATATGCACATAAGTGTTTTTACAGATGAGCTAGAAATTACAGTTCCCTATTGCAAAATGTAGTTCAAATGACATGCCGTGAATCCACGACACTGTGGACAACCGTAACTTCAACGCTGTTCATGCGGACGAATGAAACTTATAATCAAAATGGACATTGGACGACCCCTGCCATTAATTCCAAACACGTCTCGGATCATGGCTAGGTGTATACATGAGGCAATTTTCTTACCTCGGTGCTGCAAAATCAAGCAAATTACTTAAACAAATTCCACGTTCCATTTTTCCTCGAACTTGAAGAGAATGATATTTCTTTCCATTTTAATTTCAGGCCGTCCTCCTCTAGTGGTGAAAGCACCAACCGGTCTTCCTTAATTTTATCCAACAGTATTAGCGTGACGAAACCACCGCTTCAAAAGAAGAACTCTGCGAACAGTGGTTTGTCGTCACAACCTCCCAGGTACCTCTGGATCCGCCTCGCTTTATTTGACAAAGTTTTAGCACGTATCATCGACCATCTAGTTCAAAATAGCAGGTAACTACTCTTTGAATTTTAGAAATGGACACATTTACACCAAAAGCACCTACATCAATTCTGACATGAGCCCTTAGATCCATAAGTATACATGCATCTCAGGGCTCAAGTTACGATGGGTATAGTTCCTTTAGATTTAAACGCGTCCAAATAATCAAATTGGCAGTTATGAACTGTTGAGATTAGTTCTTAGAATCACCATTTGCAGTTTTATTCGACACACAATGGATCGAGTCGATGGAAGAGGTCGGACAAAATTTGGAAACTTTGCAAGCTCATAACTCCGTTCATACAAAACTTTGAGGTTTTAAAAGCGGTGCCATTTGTTTCCTCGTGAAATTCTATACTAGGAGCACACCTTAAAATTTCAAATGTCACGAAGTAGACATTAAAAATGGCAGTTTTAGTTAAAAATTTCATGTCCCACCTCTCTGATTAACTCGATCCACTGAGCGGCAGTTTATTCATCATTAGAATACTTTTAAAAGGACAATTTGTCTCTTCGCTGAGTAATTTAATTATCACCACTGAAGTTAATTGAAAATAAACAGCTCTCCTGCGTGATTTCTGTGCTGCTGCCTTTCCCTTTTAGTTTTTGTTTCCAGGGTTGCCATAGATTCTTCATCCTCAAATTCCTTGACTTTTTTTGCTCTTCCCTGACTCCAAAAAATTCTGATTCTCTTACCTTTTTTGTGTTGAAAAATAATTGCGCTTTTACGCTTAATCATTAATTCGAAACATTTTTCTTTTTTTTTTTGTTCTTTTCAGTAAATATTACGAGAAAGACTCACTGATTGCGGATGAAGACTATGGATCAATTCTAAGTTCTCTTTTAGGTAATGCCAACACATCAATATAATTTCCACTTGTGTCTGCATCATTGATGAAAGTTCTTTTTCTGAATCACCTTCCTTAACTAAAGATAGGAACAGCAAAAGAGAGAATTCTGTAGGAGGAAGAAGTAATGAAAGCATTCCCTCTTATATGTTACCTCACTAATTATGGAGTCAAAATAGGTATAAGAGGAGAATTAATTACCTAAATTTCAGAATTATACACCAATATTTTACCGGCCGATGACAAAAAACAGGGAAGTGTCCGTTATTGGTCGAGCGTGGTTTTGTCGGCCTCCTGTCGTGTAAAGGATGTGGCGCTAACCGCTGGCTCTGCACTGCCGTGCTAAGGAAAAACGCCGTATGAACATTCAGGCGTTGCCATATTTTCTTCAATGTAAAACGAATTTCCCCGAAAACTCTGAGTATTTTTTTTCCAAATTTTCAGACAATTTTGTTCGCAATTCAATTTAAAATATCTGAAAATTTCGAGGAAAAATACGCACAACTTTCTTCAAAAATACATTTTTTATTCGGGGAAATTTGGCAACTCTCGAATGTTCATACGGCGTTCTTCCTCAACACAGCAGTACACAACTAGGGGGTCCGGGGTTGTACTCGAGTTTGATGGTCTCAAATAACGGTTGCCTCGGACTGGTATGCAGTAGGGACTGAAGGGGGACATGGGGCTTTGGCTAAAAGCGCAGGATTATCACTTGTGTGGTGCTTCCAGAAAAAGCCGGGCAAGAAATAAATAAATAAAAAATTAGACCGCGGCCAGGAGTTTCGGCTATGCATTCTTGGACCGCTTGCAAACGACTTCCGACCAACAAGTTTAAGATAACTCAGTTTAGGATTTTTAAATTAGGTATGTCTGCTGCTACTCTATGGTCAGCGATTTATGGAAACTACCAGTGTAATGATTACCCATGGTGGGAATAAGTAAAAAAGAGCTAGATTAATGATTCTTCCTAACTAGAAATTCATAGAATTAATGAATTTTTCAGTTGGACCCTGTGCTCTTGACTTCTCCAGAACGAAAACGCAAGACCACATGTGGACCGACCCGCCAGCCGATGAATTAGTACAACGACATAGGATTTCTAGTGGTCATTCTACACTGCCAGCATGTAGAACGCCTCATTTAAATGTTTGTATTCTTTAATTCTGCACCTATTCTCATAGCAGTGAAATTATTAAAATGGAATGTATCAAGCGGTTTCAACCAGGGGAAGCCTTCCAAAAACCGTCTACGGATTACGTCACGATCTGCGCTGCCGTGCTAAGAAAGAACGCCGTATGAACATCCGAGAGCTGCCAAATTTCTCTCCATAAAACATGCATTTTTTCAGGAAAGATGCGAATATTTTTCCGTGAAATTTTCAGATATCTTGGATCAAATTGCAAACAAAATTATCTGAAAAAATCGAAAAAAAATATTCAACATTTTCCCAGTTGATGCGATTTTTAGTAACGGAAATCTGGCAACGCCTGATGTTTCATACGGCGTTCTCCCTTAGCACGGTATTACGGGGCAAAGGCTCAAAATTTTTGTGACGGAAGGGTGTGAAACTGCTTGGTGCAAACTGAAAATTCTTTACAATTTTTTCACTTTTTAGGGAGAAGAAAGACAAAGATCAACATTTTATAAGTGAAGTTATGGTATTAGCAAAGCGTGATGTAATTTTTATGCTAGAGGGGGGGGGGGTTAAACTTAAGGGACAAGAGGGATGGGGGTGATGAAAATTCTAGATTTCAGCTTGACGCGCATTAACTAAAGCAGTCTCTAAGTTAACATCTCTTGGGAATGCAGATGAATTTATAACATTTTTTTTCTTTGAAAAAAGAGAAAAAAATGAAAAAATGATTATATCTTTCATTAATAAAAATGTCTCAATTCATGTGATGTTCATTTTCAACAAACCTTGCGGTTTCTTTCTGCTTCTTCCTCTTTTTTTATTTCGTCGGCAAAAATGAATAATCATTAATTCGCTCAACTTTTTCAGTATCGGCGCAGTTTGCATGCTGTCAATTCTGAGGAGAATCATAGACAAATTCCTATTTCCGCCAAGGACTATGTAGAGTCACTCCATCAAAATAGCCGAGCGACATTGCTTTACGGGAAAAATAATGTCTTGGTTTCTCCGGTAAGTCTCAAATCGTTCCCGCTTTCTACAAGTAATGTACGGCATGTTAGAACTTACTGTAACAAAAACTGTACTATTTCTATAATTGTGCATCAGAATACAGGGACAGTGGCGAACTGATTACCTGCCGTGAGATAAAATTGACTCATTTTTTAAAGAATGTTAAAAACATTATTTTTCTCGTTGTTGCATCTTTCAAATAAAAATCTACGATAAATTATGCTCGAAAGCAAGTAAAGGATACTACATAATGGATTAGCTGGATACTTCTGGATTCACTATTTCAAATCTGGAATCTTGAGTGCATCGATTCTATTTATTAAAATTATCAGACATCCAGTAGGTTAAACATAAAGCCAGCGGATACAGGTCCTTAGTTGCTGCACAAAACTTGTGAACTAGTCGAGAAAAACGCATTCAGCACAATGAAAAAATGGTTTTCATCAAATGGCTGAAACGTAAATTAATGACATGTCTTAGGGTCTGGGGTCGTACCCAAAATGTTGTTTCTTTTCCTCTAACTTTAACTTGAGTCTAAATATACCCGAAAACAAGAAAAGGGTGCACTATTAGAAATTTTGGAGTAAAATTCTGTGCCAAAGTCTGCACAGCGGCAAAAACCCGCCAAATAATATGAATGCGGAGCGGAATCTACTCTTTTTGTGGAGTTTCATACGCTTTTATAGTGCAGATTTCACTTCACATTTTTATCACTGGGGATTTTTGAGCGCTATACAGACTCCGGCACCGAATTTCACCTCCCGCTTTTCAACAGTGTAAACCTAGGATTTAGACACTACATAACTAGTTTTAATGAGGTTGTTCTCTTTGGAATTCACAGAAGGATATGAATGAGCCCATGCCAGGCTACTTATCACTTCACCAGACGGCGCACTCATTAACAATAAAATGGACTCCGAATCAACTAATGAACGGCTACTCAGAGTCAGACGGCACGGATAAAAGGTAATTCTTTAGCTGGACCGCATTAAACGGAAAAGAACCAAGTCACATCCGCAATTGCCAAATTTGACTGAGTAATTTAATTTTTCACGATCGAGCGTTAGTGCGGACTCCTTTGAAAATGTTGCTTCGTGCTGTATGCAGAAAATTCACCGTTTACACAGAAATCCACATAACCGTCTCCATGTGACAAAAAATTGCCCAATTAAATTTAGAAAAAACTTTGAAGGGTGGGGAAATAACTGATTCTGAATCCACTGGATTATGGCGAGGCATTCAACTTTCAACGCCTCATAAACGTACGATTCCGACTTTCCGAGTGGACTTGCGAATTTTTTCTATACTTTGCATTTCCTTTAATTAAGTTTAATTAATTGATCTGCGGGCTGATTATTGAAATTGATGGACACAGCGATAGACAAAGAAGACGGACTGAAAATCTGAAAAGCTATCAGATCGGTGGAAGCAGACGGCTGCAATGGACAAAGGAGGAAGTAATGGACTAACTAACGGCAACCCACAAGAGACCCTGTAGTTAGTCCATCGCTTTCCACTTTAGTCTATGCGAACCACCCGTTTCCACTAATAGGATCATTTCATGTTCTCCATGTCTTATGTCTATCGCTTTGTCTATCAATTTCAAGAATCAGCCCGCTGGAGCCCTCGTACATTGTGGTTATATCGTCCGATGCTCTGCAGCGCATGGCTGCTGTGACAGCAAAGAGAGCTGCAGTAAGTGGATTTGTGTATGAGCCATGATTAGCACATGCTTTTATGTGTCTCGAGGTTCATCCCAGCATGCACTTACTCTTCTCTTCGCTATCACGGCAGATAGGTAAAGATAAGATGGAGCCAAGTCGAATCCCTAAACGATTTTGGTTTCTCTGTTTCAGCATCTATTGGGAATATGCACTGAATGTAAGAGTAGATGATATAGTTTACGTCCATTGTCACCAACATGGTAAGTATTACTTACAAGAACTGGATACTGTTTTGCAAAAAAGAACAGCTATTTCTGACCCATTTTAGAGACAATATACATGTCACTTGTTTCCTTGTGCAGATATGTGATGTTATGGTAGAGCCAGAGATAATGGTTCCTTATCGCAGAATGTAATCCAAGTATCACTCTCATAAAATTATTTCAAGAGGAGCAGATTGACAGAAAATCAGGAACGTTAGGACGCGATCATAATTTGGAGGCCCCTCTATGAGGTAGCTGAGTGGGACCACCCCCAGAAAGTTAGCAGGGGAATTGGGGGGGCTCTTTCCCGGGCAATTTTGTATATTTAACTAATTGCAAACGTAATTTTAAGCAATAAAACATGACTGGAGATTTTTAAATGTTGTGCTTGCATTGACCGGTAGATAAGCTACGAATTAGAGTATTCTGATACATTTTTCCTACTTAAAATTTGACGTAAAACACGATTCGAGCAACATAAAGGGATGAAACTAACCCCAAACTGAGATAATTAAAGTTTTCCAGAGGCAAATCAACCGACTCGGCACACGGGCTAGGAGTTTAGACGCGACGTGACGCGGCGCTACAAAACGCCTTCAACTAGGTGGGTAGGCAATTTGCGCTCCTAGGAGTTAGAATAGTTGCTCGGGCTGTAGCAAGGCGCCAGGAGTCGTGGCCTGGTCGCGTCGGTTCCTGAGAAGAGCCGACTGTCGAAGGAACAATGGACCAGTACTGCTGTGCTAAGGAAAAACGCCTTATGAGCCTTCGGACGTTGCCAAGTTTCCTCCGATAAAAACCGAATTTATTAGGAAAATTGCGAAAATTACTTTCCAAAATTTTCAGACAATTTTGTACGCAATTTAATCTAGAATATCCGAAAATTTCAAGGAAAAATATGCATGAAATGTCGTCAAAAATACATGTTTTATCAAGGGAAACTTGGCAACGTCTGAAGGCTCATGCGACATTCTTCCTTAGCACGGCAGAGTAGACAAGGTACAAATTAGAGCATACTGATACGTGTTTCTTACTCAAAATTTCTCGTCAAACGCGATTTGGGCAACGAGAACGGATGAAATCAACCCCTAACTGAGATATTTAACGTTTTCCGATGCATTTCAAACTTCCCGCTCATGAAAAAACAGAATTCTACGCTATTCAAATCGCGCTCTAAATGTTGCCGTGATAATCTCTGCGGCATGAAAATATGGCAACCTTAATCTTGGCGCTTCGACTCAGTTGTTGCATGTTGTTTACACTCTGAACAACACAGAGTGGAGGAAGAACACAACTCGATTCAGAAGCCTGCCGAAACAGTTGCAGTGTGTAATATGACTCAGGCAGAATATTGTTTCTCTCGCGACCGGGCAATTCAAATTCCCCATGACCATTGTAAAATAACGAAAAAGCACAGGGGAGAATTTCATGAGCCGCCCTGAGCCATTCACAGCGCGCATGGCGCACGATTCGCCTTTCATTATTACACTTCATCTAGCGTTGAGACCTCACTAATAACTTCACACGACCAGTGTGAAATGTTAATAGTCGAAAATTTAAAAATAAATAAATAAATAAAAAATTACACGATACACTAGTTTTGCCGCCAGGGAGCTATCCCCGCAAGAAATCATTCACTACCCGCCCACCGGGAGAGCCGCGGCGTGCTGCCAGCGCGAAACGCGCTCTGACGCTTGCGAACCTAAATGGCTACTTCACGCATTGCGCACTGNGTTTGTAGGCATCAGTGCGCGTTTCGAACTGGCAGCACGCCGCGCCTGCAGCGTGCTATAAACTTGCCCACAATTTTTAGGTCAGGGTGTTAAAATGTAGGCAATTTGACATCAAATTCGAAATTAGCGACTCAAAAAACATCAGTAACGAAACTTTCGTGATCTTTCAGTCGTTATCAGACTTATTTCTTCCTATTCTTGAGTCTTGGACTATAGTGCGCGGCGGTCGGCGGCGCTCATGAAATTCTCTCATGTGCTCAATCGGTAAAATAAAAACGTTAGTATCTTACTTAAGAGTTAATTTCAGTAATTTTCGTTACGCGAATCGTGTTCAACGTGAAAATTTTTTCGCAAACACCGAGTTAATCGATCCTTTTCAATAGGCTCAAATGGCAGATCAATGGATATATCTCAGAGCACGCCACGCCACTGGCTTTTTGTTTTAAATTTAGCGGTAGAATTAAAGGAATTTGCCTCTAGGCGTTTCAACTGTGGCACAATGCAGATTTTTTTTTAAATGTTTTATTTGGCACAGGCGGCGATAATGGTGGTACGATAGTGTTGGTTGGACAAGACGGCGTCCAGCGACCGCCGATCCACTTCCCGGCCGGAGGTCACCTTTTAGCGTTTCTGTCTTGCCTTGAAAACGGTCTCCTGCCCCACGGTCAGTTAGATCCACCCCTTTGGTCACAACGAGGGAAAGGTGAGCATTCATCTTACTTCTACCACACTTGAAAATTTCACAAATCCAAGTTTCCACTCAATTTTACCTTGCAATCTACGGATTTTACAGGGTTGCCACAGAATTTAGAAAATTAAATTACCTGACATTTCTCTGATTTCCCTCTGACAAATTTTGGTAAAATTTCCTGACAATTGAGGATGTGTTACATGGTTAAAAATACATATTTTGAAAATGATTTCAGACAAAATTTGTTGTCTCAAATGGCAAACCCATTCTAGAAAGCAAAGAAAGGTGACTTGACAATATTCCCTTGACACTTTTGTCATTTTTCCTGACTTTTTCAAATTCCCTGACGTTTCCCGATATTCCCTGATTACCCTGATTTTCTTACATGGAAAAAGGACTGTGCGGCTGAATATTACTTTTATTCATAACAGCAAGGGACTTATACATCTTCGGATGAAATTATATTTCCAAATTCCTATGCTCTTGGAAGACTACGAAAAGTTAATTGAGTTAGAAATTATTGGTTTATATAGTTTTGAATTTGCAATTTTATTCAAATACCACTGCGCGATGTTTTCTGAATACATTTAAAACTCCACATCCGTCTTTTTTTGACTCGATCTCGTTTAGCAAACAACCACGGCAGGAGCCGGAATGTTTACTTCGGAACCAAAAAAAAATTTCAAGCTTCTGGGTATGAGAACGCATTCAATAATATTTTAACAGTCGACAAAAAATTTCAAAAATTTCACACAAAAAAAAAAAAAAAAAAAAAAAAAAAAAAAATTAAATCTGACTCGAGTTGAGAGGAAAAGAGGGGAAAAGGGACAGTATTAAAATTATAAATCTAAGTGGCAATATGTTGTTGCCAAAAATTCCTGCCTGAAATTTACTTCTGCTGGAGACTTTGATAGAGGCATATTAGCACACTTTTAATTTTTCTTCTTTTAAATTTTTTCAACTCCAGGAAAAGTTTTCCCAAAACTGAGGAGGAAAGGACGTATCTTGTCTCAAAAGACTGAAGTGCCCGAAGAGGAATCCTCCGACTATGTCTTTCAGATCATTAGCAAAACTAGACATGAGGATTTCTGTAAGTACGAAAAGTTCTACATTTAATTTTACTCAATTTTTAAGATGGCAGCTAGGAAGACTCCTAATTCCTTTCTTAATCTGCAAATTTCCCGACTTGGCGCTGACAGTGAGATGCTCTGATCTTATAAATAAAACCCTTAGTTTTGAAAGGGTGGAAAATTACAGATAATTTAAAAAAACACAAATGATGCAAATCATTGGCAATTTTGTTGGATTTTTTAAAAATTATGATGCAAATAACAACCGAAAATGTCGATTTATAGTGTAAAAAGGGAGCATTTTAAATCACGAAGTTATATTTTTGTGAGAGTGAAGAGCTGCATAACAAGTGCCCGATGAGAGGAGGGCGGGGGATTCAAAATATTGAACTTAAGTGAGACGCTGCTTTCCTGAAGGTCGTAGACTGGGGTTAAGTGGGCACCATTTTGTTTGAAAAATCATAAAACAAATTTGGTGATAGATATAGTTAATCTTTAAAGTACAATGTCTTCAGTATAATGTAAGGTATCTGCAAAAAATAGTATGTTTCATTTTTTAAATTTCTTCATGGTCAAAATTTAGATTTTGTAAAAAATGGGAAAGTGCTCAGTTAACCCCGTGGGGTGGGTTAACTGGGCACTGGGGGTGGGTTGACTGGACACTAAGATGAAAAAGCATACTTTTGAAAGAGGAAACTTTTATTAAGTCAAATGAACAAGTGGAAAAGTCTTAAAAATTAAAGAAATACATCTGAGGATGATTTTTTGTTTGTCTTAATACTTATATTATGTACATTTTCACTAAGAGATACGGAAAACTTATTTCAATGACTTCTGAATAGGTCCCATGGTTGGTTGTCCTTTTTCTCCTTTTAGTTGTTAAAATACTGCAATTAAAATCAAAAAACAAGTTTTAGTGAATGTTTTGGCTAACTTGTAATCTATGGGGTTAACTGGGAATGCCCTCTTTAATCCCATTTGGTAGTGTTCAGTTAACCCCATTTGGTAGTGTTCAGTTAACCCCATTTCGGAATTTCAGAGAAAAAAAATCATAAATAGTACTCAATTGGAATAATTACCAAAGTAATCACTGGAAATAGTACATAAAACTATAGATGAAACAATAAAGCACTTACCAAAGCCTTCCTCAAAAGCTAGATATGTCATTTGGGCTTCAGTTCACAGCACCGGGAATTTACTTTTCGCCCCACGAAACACGTTTGTAAACATAACTTCAAAAAAAACAAAGATTATCAACTCAGCGCAAGGTACACTAGTAAGGGTCTATAAACTGATGAAATTGACGCGTAGTTGGTTTTGAGTTTGCCCACCAGGTGGCAGCTAGGTCGAGTGTTCAGTTAACCCGCCGTGCCCACTTAACCCCAGGCTACCCTAATCCTGGCGGGTCGATTCTTGAATCGTTATCGAATGAACTCGATCGACAAATCCCCATCCAGCGGACTGATTATTGAAATTGATAGACAAAAAAGATAAAAGGAGTATGGAGCGATCCTATTGGTTAAAATGTGTGGTTCCTGTAGACTAAGGGAGAAAATGATGGACTGACTACCGGGTTTCTCGTGGGTTGCTTTTAGATAGTCTAATACCTACCTCGTTTGTCCATTGCAACCACCCACTTCCACCAATAGGATCCCTCCATGCCCATTTTGCCTTCTTTGTCTAAAGCTTTGTCTATTATTTCAATAATCAGGCCGCAGACAATGCTTTTTATCGATCAAAGTCATTCGATACCCATTCAACTATCGACCCCTGGGGATTCAAAAACTTTCGCGACTGGAAGACCAATCGGGTCGCGATAAAAATGCTTCCAAAGGGAAACTGCTAGGCTTTAACGAAGAATACTGTGAACTGTGTGTTTTACACGGAGAAAATAGTGAAGCGTGCAGTTTTATGTGGACAGCCCCGTGAAAACAGCCTGAAGGTGATTCGTCAAGCTAAAGTGACGTGGTCGAACTGGCATGCGATTCATCGCATCGATTAGGTCCAAAATCTCGGCAGATTTTGAACTTATAGCAAAAAAAAAAGGACGTTAGCCCCTGCGCATAAGCCTAAAGAATCATTCTAAACCAAAAACTCGGCAAAATTCAGAGAAATGAAAGCAGAATAGTGTTTGGAAAAAACCTCGCATTCGTTACAGAAATCAATTGCTGAATCGAATGCGAGGTTTTTTTCCAAACACTATTCTGCTTTCATTTCTCTGAATTTTGCCGATTTTTTGGTTTAAAATGATCCTTTAAGCTCATGTGCAGGGACCAGCGTCCTGTTTTTTGCTAAAAATTCAAAATCTGCCTGGATTTTTTACCTGATCAATGCGATATATCGCATCCAAGTTCGACCACGTCACTTGAGCTTGACAAATCACATTAAAATACGCGAAGGCTGCCTCAAAAAATGTAAAAGTAGGCAAAAAACTTTCTGGACCCCTGGTCTAATCTTTTACAATAAGGGCTATTAATTATTTTTCCATGTTTTCCGACAGTGTCCGCTAGTAAAGAATTCATCGATGCAAAGCATTGGTTCAGCAGCAGCAACAAGCATGTTTCGCCTCGAGCCAGAGCCCACTTAATTTCATCATCGACAAACAGTTCCTCGAGTTCATGTAAATCACTGAGCATCGAGCCGGGCGGAAACGGGATGGAACCGGTTTCTCCGCCTCCGTCCCTCAGCTCGGACCTCAACAACGAAGATTGTAAATTAGAAATCGAAAACCCAAAATCTAGTCCAGGGTAATGTTTCTCGTCCAATTTATATTTCAAAACTTTTTTCGTGAAATGGATCGCACTTAACAAGAGGGAACCAGAGCGATCACAGTGATGTAAACATCTTGCTTCCTCATAATTATCTAAAAAATCTCCGAGAGTATCGAATAGTTTAGGCTTCCTACCAAAAAATGGTTGATTTTTGAGGAGAATAATTGTGTAAACATTAATACTGTACATAAATCGAGTATTTTTAAAAGATAATGAGAAGTTGCACACTTTTGAAAACACTGTAAATGCGCTGGTTCCTTTTTGCTAAGTGCGATCCAATTTTGCACAGCTTGTTGGAAATATACTACTGAGCACAGCGGGAGAATACATAATTTTTGTTTACATAAGCCTTCTGTGCAGAATTCAAAATGAATGTATTCCCTCTGCGCTCCAAAAAGAGTGAAAGTTCATAATACAAGTTTATTTGTTTACTTTTTCTGAAGTCACAGAACGAATTCTAATTTTGGTCATGAATCATTGACTGACTGAAAGCTCAAATGATCTTATGGGGCATTACAAGATATGATGATATCTTGTCAATGAATGATGAATCTGTGTTCCAAAATACAATAGACCTACAGCCGGCTGTAAGATTTCCAATAGCTTCTATAGCCAGCAACACAATTTCTTATAGCCTTTTATAGCCGATGGCTACCAAGCAACAGCCTGGCGACAAAGTGCATGCCAAACGTTACTAATTACGGATGCTAGGACTTAGTGAGTATTTGGACTATCGCTCTCTTTGTGGGTCGTAGTATCTTGATTTATTTTGCGAGGAAAGCTCCGTACTTTTGAAGGATGCCTGCCATTCCTTATATATTGGAGCGCCTTTAATTTCCTATGATACTGTGCAATACCTCTGGTGTGAAATAGTTGCTTCAAGCGCCGTGGTACGCTGCAGCGCGGCGCGGAACGCGCATTGGCGCCTACAAACCTAACAGGGATACTTCACGCATTGCGCAATGCGTGAAGTATCCCTGTTGGGTTTGTAGGCGCCAGTGCGCCGCCGCCGCGCCGCTCCGCTTTGTGTTATGCTCTAATATTTCATCTCGTGGAGTCAGCGTTTTTCAACTTATGACTTTGAAATGTTTGCACACTCTGTATGGATTAATCTCATTTTAATTTATGAAAAAAAAATAAGTAGTAAAGGAGGATATAATGTGCGTTTTGTAAATATTAAGGTGATTCCGTACAAACTTAAGGATTTACAAAGCACAAGAATTTCTACACAATTACCGATGGCAAAAAAGCAACACCCAGGCATTAAAGTGTAAAGCCCGGCGATAGGAACTATAGCCCGGTTGTATACTTTTTTATCGCTTCGTGTAGCCCGGCCGTATGATTTTTTCTACTTTCTACAGCCAGCTATATGATTTTTTATCGCCTTCTTCAGTCGGCTATAAGAACTCCTATGGTATTTTGAAACACAGCTCCTATCGCCAATTTTTACCAGGGTTATTAAGTAGTTGGTCCTGGCCAGCCAAAGGAATATCTGGCAAAAATTGCATATCTGGCTCCTAGTAGCTCCAAAATTTAATTTTTGAAACATTGAAATTAAAAACAGCCTTTAAGAGGAAAAATTAAAACGTCTCGTTTTGCTCATTTTTTTATTATCAAATTTGCACGTCATATCAGAGCAACTGCAATACGCAACATCATTAAAAGAGGATCCGAGACTTGTATTTCAAAGGTTGAAATCTTTAAAGCACAAGATGCCTCCTTCGAAAATCTCAAATTCCAAAAAGCGCACATTCGTCAGTACGAAATGCTATTGAAAGGCGAGAAAATCATAGATAATGAGTCCTTATTTACATGAATCAATGCCGACTTGACAAAATTTCACATTATTTGAAAAACAAGGCTACAAAAAGCGAAGCTTCTGAGTTGGAAATGCATTATTTTCTTTTTCTTTACAGTGAAACGATTCAGTTAGTGTGTGAAACGATGAAACGACAAATTATCTCTAGAGCGTTTTACGGCTGGCTGGCGTACTGTCGACACCTGTGCACTGTCAGAACTCATCTGTCTGGACTTGTAAACGCAGCAATAATTTCTGGAGAGGGAGCTGAGAATGGCCTAACGACTGAAAAGTGGGCGGAGCTCATGAAAGATGACGGCAAAGATAGCCAAACAGAAGTCTTCCGATTAGCGTATTACGGTGGGGTAGCACATGATATTAGGAAAGAGGTAAATCAGCAAATTGGTTTTTTTTCCAACAAGCTTCAAGTCTTTGATTATTCCTTCCATTTCACAGCACAAAAAATATTTAGTTGTCGTTGAGAGGAGTTGACACATTTTGGCGAAATTCCCGGACAATTGAAGATGTGACGGATGGTTAAAAGGGCACAATTAAAAATAGTTTTCAGGCAAAATTTCTTGTTCAAAACCTCAAACCCATTCTAGAAAGCAAATGAAGGTGATTTAACAAATTTCCCCTGACATTTCCCGGTTTTCCGTGTTTGTGGCAACCCTAACATTGGTCAATTTAAAATTTTCAGGTGTGGCCTTATTTGTTGGGTCATTATACATTTGGAAGCTCAGCAGAAGAGCGCGAGCAGCTAGATGAGACAACGAAACATAGCTACGAAACAACCATGTCCGAATGGCTGGCAGTCGGAGCGATTATCAGACAACGAGACAAAGAAATCGTGGCAGCAAGTTTAGCCAAACTTTCTAGTGAAAGTACCTCAGGTGAACAACCTCCGCCCACCCCCGCTTTGGCGCAAGAGCTCAGTAATGATGTAAGTTGCTCACACTCAACTTCCCCCCATATTCGACAAATTTCCCAAGTAAATTATCAGAAAATTCAACAACCTTCTACAATCTATACTATAAGCCCCGAGACCTCCTAAATTTGAATATCTGGTAACGCTTAGTTCCAGCGTTCTACCTGATCGATTTTCATGATTTTTATGGCTATCAACAGGCAATTGTCTTCAGATGAGCTCGCTTTATTCAGATTTTGAAAATATGACCCAGGTTTTTATATATTACGTGGTAAAGTTGTGAATTCTCCCATTTAAACAATGTAATTTTTTATTTTTTGTCATAGTTCGTTTGAGCGTTCTACAATGCCGAATTCCATGATTTTTGCGGCTATCGACAGGTGATAGTCCCTAAATGAGCCCGTTGTAATCAGAATTTGAAAAGAGGACCCGTGTTTTTTTATATTAGAGGAGACCAGAAAGCTTACAAAGGGGGGCAAAATTTGAAGTAAGCGGGAAATATTGAATCTTGATCTGTTAGTAGGGTAAGTGAATCGAATGTATGCTCCTTTGCTACAGACTATCCAAAAGCGACGAAACGCTTCGTTGTTCCGTTTCGTTTCAGTTTTGGCGTGAAGTTTGAAATAAATGCCGATTTTTTCATTCGATTCTTATTGGTCCAATTGCTCCCGGTCAGAGGGACTTAGGGTAAATGAGAGTCGGGTATGAAAATTTTTTGGTCGTTCTTTTATCGACGCGGGCCTAAGAGAACGCGAAGCGCCCTCTGGGGGTTGGGCCGCGCAGCGACTAGGGGGCATAGCCCCCTAGTAAATTCTACGAGTTCACACGTTCTTGAAAAAAGCGACGAGAACTCTGAAGCTTGTAGAAAATTTATGAGGGCATTTTTCTGGAAAGGGAGGAAGTTTACTGAAAAATTAAAAACATCCCAAAACTTTCTGAAAAATTAGGATGACTTATAATCTTTAGAAAAGCTGGAAAAATACCAGGATTTCCAGAAAATATGCAAGATTTTGAAATTTCCCAACTTTTTTGAAGGGCTAGGGAAAGTCCAAAGTTCGCTAAAAAAGTTAGGAAATTTGAAATTTAAATTTCTTGATTTTCCAGAAATTAGATTAACTCCAAAATGTTCTGGAAGATTAGGAAAAATCTTGAGCATTCGTAATTTTCCTAAAAACTTGGGGAATTTCGGAGCTTGCCAATAAATCTTGAAAATTTTGAACCTTTCCAAAATGTTGTGAAATTTTTCCAAACCAATTATTAAAAGAGACCTAGTAGCTTTCCTGGGTTTTCTTAAGCGAAATACAGATTTTACGTTTTCTACAGCTTTGCACATTTTCATTTGCGCAATTTGATAGAGTCAAGTACAGTAAAAGAAGTGGAAACGAAATGATCTGAAGAAACTTGGTGCATTCACGGCCGGATTTACCTACTTGCCGCCCCCTTCTCATTCGTTTTGAAACATCAATAAAAACCATCAAGTGAACCTGCCGGCGGGGGAGGAGCGTATAAGACGCGCTTACTCGTGTTGGACACATTTTTTGCGAAAGCCCTGTCAAAACTACTTGCAAAAGTTCACGGAACTTTGTGTGAAAGTTAAGTTCCGTAACCGTATCTCTGTGTGGACAAGGCCTTCCATTTATAATAAATGAATGAACAAATTATGAAAGGACAAACATAAATGTTTAATAATTTAATAATTTTAACTTCCGGCGCCGCGCCACGTTGACAGTACTGTGTTTGACGCAATGCGTGAAGTATTTATGCAGTCTTGTAGGCGCTAATATATGTTACATGCCAACCGCGCCGCACTGAAGGCTTCCTCTTTTCATCTCAAGTCCTCGTCATTATTGCTCTCTGCGCCGCGCCGCTCCAAGCCAAATTGCGTGTTTGGTTTCTCGACTGATTGAAGGTACTTCCTCTTGTATCACCGAAAGACGACAAAAGATAAATTACTATACTCTCAGGAAATGAGAGATTTTGCCGCCTTTTCTCGTTTGTAATTTTTTTTGTGAATTCGATTTGTTTTAGACCTAAATTTAAAAAAATTGCAAAAAAGTTGCCGCCCCCTAAGTTGCCGCCATGGGCTGCGGCCCATGTGGCCACCTCCTTAATCCGGCCCTGGGTGTATTTCATGACAATCATCAGTCATTTCATCATGTCATGACACGGTTTAAGCGTTTTTCATTCTTTAGAGTCATGTTCGACTAATACAGAGAATTGCTTGCGAATGTGATTTTTCAGGTGTTCGAGGACAACATTAGCCTTTCAGATGATGACCCTCCAATAGTAGACGACTACGAAGGCGAAAACGAGAATGAAAACGAAGGCGAAGGAGAGGATGAGCAAAAGAAAAAGAAAGTTGTCGCTACGAAATGTCCTCCCAACTCCCTTGAAAAACACTCTTCATCTGACAACACTGAAATTCTCCAGTCTTCCTCTACCCTGCCTACTTTGGAAAAAGGTTGGAAAATGTCTCATGTCTCAATCTTATATTCCTTAGAAACAAATGAAGATTTTTCAACAACTTTTGAGAAAAAGAACGCTAGTGGCATTGGCTATTGAAAAAGAGATGAAAATACGTTAATTTCAAAGAAAGAAAACTGTAATACAAAAATATGAGGGAGCCCCGATTTCGAAGCCGTTTTCTTTTTTATTTATTTTCCGTCTACATATGCCACCGTGCATTTTTAAGAGTCTTCTTATCTTGTTATCTTGGTAAATTTTTACCACAATGTAGAATTTGCATGCAAATTTTGTATTGCTTCATCTGAAAGTGCTTAAAAAGCTGATTTCACAGTATTTTTTATAATTTTTTTCTGATATGGGAAATGATATAAAAATAGATTTAAAAGTGAGAAAATGCACCGCCTAGTGACGTCATCTGGTGGTATTTCTCATTTAAACACACGTATTTTAGCAGATAAGATCATGTTCAATTCATGAACCGAGGGTATCCTAGTGTTCAGTTCACTCAGTGGTTTCCACTTAAACAGGAAATTCATCAAATTTCTGACACCTGCAAATAATTCTCCATTGCGTACATTTTTATTTCTGTTTCTTCACTAACGTACTTCTGTTTGTTAATGTTTCCAGTTGTAGAAATAATGAACAACAAGATGGACAAGAGGCATTCAGCTCCTTGCGGTGGGAATATTGGACATTTATCTGTTCTCACGGGCAACGGAGCAGTTCCGGTAAATAACAATTTTACCCTATCAATCCGCAGTCTACTGAATTGAAACTGACCATCTTTCCTCCCCATACATAAATTTCAGCGCCGGGTAGTGTTGAGGATTTTAAATTCAATTTATTGAAAAATCGATTTTTTAACCAAAAGAATCGATTAAATCGCATCGATTTTATTGGGTTCGATTAATCGTGTAAATATTTGCTGCCCGAATGTACTAAATCGACACGCAAGTCGATATTTTGGACCAACATTAAATTTGATCGAACTTCCCGAAAATTTTATTCAAGTTTCCTTTATTGTACTTTTTTATGAGTTCAAATTTTGAGCCTTCATAAATTCCGATTTGTGTAGATCGATTTTTCGGAAATTCGACTGTTTCGGCACGATTTAAGTCGATGAAATCGGATTTGCGAAGAAAATCGAATAGATTCGATTAATCGATTTTTTCGAAAAAAAATCCCCAACACTAACACCACGCGAACCAGGATCATAAACCTAAATTCCGGGGAGACTGGGGATTCACACCGTGCGCCAGGCAAATCAGAATATTTACCTCGGTGCTGAATGTTTTCCTTGATTGATGCGACGCTTCGGTGAGAGCGAACGCTCCCATTAATAGGCAGCTCAGTAGGAGACGATTGGCATGGAGTGATGAGCTTGCCCTGCTGTGGAAACGCACAAAATAAACTACTAGATAAGAAAATAAAAACTATGCGCTATTATCCCTCGCTCTGTTACCTACATTACACTATGTTACATGACGGTACATAAAAATAAAACACTCTGCAGAAAATTGAAGGAAAACATCTCTTCGGTAAACGAGACCTAAACTTGCAGGAGCGGACGCACCCTAACGGAGAGCCGCTGAAGCATGGCGCGATTGGCGCGGTAGCGTCGGCGTCGCTGCGCGGATTGCGGTGCGCGTCGCGACGCACAGTGAATCGAGCCAATAGGAGAGCTCGGACAAACTCTGGAAACTTAAAACGCTTCTAACTCCGTTTATACAAAGGGATGTTTTCTTATGAAGCTTTGTGGAGGGAACATCCCAATATAATGCATAGAAATAGCAAAGTTGATAAGAAGTAATACTCTAAGAAAAAAAAGATGGGTTGCATACCCTGCAGGAGCTACGAGAGCCGGAATATCGCAATTTTCCAAACTAGCGTAAGTTGGCCGTGCGATTCAGAATGTTGACCCAAGCAAAATCGAGTGATGAAACCAAAATATGGAAATTTTATATGATTATGCGACCGAAATGAAAAAATGGCATTTGAATTTTTGCAGTTATTTCATGATTTTTGTATTTGTTACGAACAGCGATCAGTTTCTCCGGATGAGGGCATGGGAGACGAGGCAGACATAGAGGACGAGGAAGAAGACAAATCGAGTGATCCATCGAAACAAAATGGTCAATCTCAGGATCAAAATCTCATCACAGGTAATTGCTTTACTCAACTAGAGAATAAATTCTATTTAAGCTTTACTAGCCTCGAACAATAACATGGAATCATCACACTCGTGATATTTATGAAATCTGCAAATGATCTCTTGGTGAACAGGGTGTCTAGTTTTTCTTTACATTGGGAAATCCTGATGAAATCCTGATTTTTCCTGATTTTTTAATGCTTAATCCTGATTGCTCAATTTTTCCAAATCCTGATTATTTGCGGAGAAAAATTAAAATTTCTGCAAAAGCGTATGCGAAAGCAGTTCGATCGGGCGGCCGACTTTTCTCAAATCCTCATTTTACGACCGATTTTTCCTCAAATCCTGATTGACCTCAAATCCTGATAGAATCGGGAAAATCCTGATGCCAGACACCCTGTTGAAGCATTTTTTAAAATATTCTGGTTCATCTCTTTTTCTAGATAACTCTCAGACGATTACGAAGCCGATGTCTGTCGTTGTTACTTCCAATCAGTCGGTCGACAGCGGAAATCACTCCGAAACGTTGAATGGAGGTAATTTCGAATCAAATTCATATTCTTTCAGCCTATTTGGACTTCAATTTGCAATTAAGAACTAAAATTTCTGGCTCATCCGAAAAAACTCTTACGTGCATAGGGAAACTACGTTGTTTTTAAACTGAGCTGGAATTCATAGTTCCCAATTGCAAAATGTGGTCCATTTCATAATCACGAAAACCTCAATTCGGACGAAGGAACGTAACTCCATTCCAAGGTTGCAAAAGTGACCAAAAAAATTCAGTGTTTTACAAGAATGTATGGTGTGAAATTTTTGTCCAAATTTTCCCTGATTTTTCCGCGGGATAAGAAGAAAAATCAGTGAAATTTGCAGTTAAAAGTGCCAAAGATTCTCCTTGGAAAAATGCAATTTACTGAGGAAGATTTGGCAACGTTGAAATTTGGTTGCGTTCTTTCGTGAGGGAAACGACGAATTGGATCACATTTTGCATGAGGAACAACTATTTTTGGCCCATTTTAGAAACAACCTACACGCAATTGGTTTTCCTACGCAGATATGTGATTTTATGAGAGTGCCAGAGATATTGGTTCCTAATTGCAAAATGTAATCCAATTGTTGCTTTTGATTTTACACTTCATTGAGTGAGGCTATCGTTTAGGATCTTGTTAACTTTTCAGGACGCTCGACTAAGTTTAACCGAGAAAATTTCCCATGAAAACCCCGAGAAAAATCATGTAATATTGTAGTCGACAATGACGACTAGTAATCTGGCACGAAGCAAACGCTTAGAGAAATTTTCCTATCATAAACCGAGGTACAAAGTTTCGTCATTGACACATCACCACAGAGGTAACTTGCCAGCTTTCAGAATACAAGCTTTCTCACAAAAGAGCTTCAGATTTTTCACCTCCTGTATTCTACCGAAGATAAGCCCAGAGTACTTCGACTTTGAACAGAGAGGAGAAAGATTAGTTACATCGATTGTAAAGTCGGATGATTTCGAAGGCGCCAAGATAGCGTTATAGGCTACTCTGGGATTTTTAAAAATTGTAGATTTGACTAAAAAATCAACTTTTACGTAAAAAAAACAGCTGCCACCGAGTTTCACAAAAATCGATCGAACAGGAGCCGCATATCGTGCCATAAGACTCTGCACAGTAGTAAACGAGATCAACGTGTCAATTTACAAAAGTTAAAGCGCCTTCATTTTCGTCTGATACTGTGCAATACTTCTGTGGTGGAATAGTTGCTCAGAGCGCCTTTAAGAGTGTCGCTTCGACTTGGTGGCAGAGGATCACGATTGCCGCTGATATTACGCTCTAGCGCGTGCAAAATTATACGACGGCGAGGTAAAAAAAAACATTAATACCTTGATTTGCAACATTGCGAGTTATTCACTGCCTATTTTGTGCGTGTAAACGAACATGAACACTTTAAGATCTGCCGTAATTTTTCCGAGTTATGACAAAAAATATTATTTTACTGATTCATTCAAATCTATTCGCATGTTTTCCTTCAAAAGGGAGAAAAAGGAATATGGATAGGAAACTTCGAAAAAACAAAAACGGATCGGAAATTGTATCGCCATTGAAGTAAACAGACCCGAAGAGTTGATAAACCGCCACTGGCAATCAGTATTTGCTTTTGCGTCTATGATGTAAACATAAAGAACTTTAATGATATTCCTCCGAATGATCAAATGAGCGGCTTGGAGAAAAAGGTGCATAAATGCAGTTTTTGCCACTTCAAGAAATACAAGTTTAAATTTTCCAAATTACATGGAGCCTTATGGCGGAAAGGAAGTTTAAATTCACTTTTTGATGCTTTAAAGTTGAATTTCAGTTGTGAATTTTGCGCAGAATTTGCTTTCAAACTAATTTTAGTTGAGTTCATGAATATCTCAATTATTTTAAAAACCGCACTCAGACAAGTATGCACCTTGTCCTCCAAGACCCTCAAATGAGAAAATAAAAAAGAAAGGAATAGAAAAATAAATACATGAATAAACAAAGAAGCAGATTCAACACAGAATAGTTGGAGAACACGCCACAAAGTTGCCACATTTAGAAAATGAGCTTCCCTGATATTTTCCTAATTTTCCAGACAAATTTGAGAAAAATTTCCTGACAGTTGAAGATATTCCAGATGGTTAAAAATACATTATTTGAAATGTTTTTCCGGCAAAATTTGTTGGTTAACCCGTCGAACCCATTTTAAAAAGCAAATAAATGTGAATTACCATTTTTCCCGAACATTTCCATCATTTTCCCTGACTTGTAAAAATTCCCTCACATTTCCTGGTTTTCTCGGTACCTATTTCCTGACTGTAGAAGCCCTGGCGACGATATGGAGGTCTAAATTAGCCGAGACATGATTTGATGTAATCTCCATTTCAGGTTCCCTGTCTCAACCGATAGTGGAGGCGAGTGAGAATGAGGTTCAAGAAAACATGTTGGCTGTTTGCACGGGTGACGAAGACGGGGAAGGAGGCGCTTCTGGACAAAGATCTGCTTGCATCTCTCCGGCCAGCTCACAGGGCGGAGTTTATTCAGTGAGTCTTGTAATGCATTTAGCGCTTCAAATCTCAGTTAATCTGTGTTCCAGTCCAGAGTGGATTTTCATGACATTGACGTGCAATGATTATTATATCGATAATGCAAATAAAAAATAAAAAAAAAAACAAAGAAAAAAAAACATTCCTACACGTGGACATACGTACTTTACATTAAACCGCTTTGCGATCACGATTTATTAAAATAAATAAAAATGAAGAATTTGCAGGTGTCTGAAATTTGATGCATTTCGTCATCAAGTGGAAACTGCTGAGTGAATTGAACACGAGGATAGCCTTGGTTCATAAACTGAACTATCATTGGAGATGTGACAAAATGCAATTTTCTAAAATACATATCAACAGTGAAACTACCAGACCACGTATCTCGGTTTGCGACGTTGTTGACTTCCTGTCATACTCTATTTCTTCAATGGAAGAAAACTCCACATCAATTCTTGAAAACTTCCATGTCTTTTCTTCTCTGTACGAAGAAAACTCTGAAAATTTCAAGAAATTGTATATCCTTCAAAAAAATAAAATGGGAGCAGAGATTTTTAAGAGATACGTAGTCTGATAGTTTCACCGTCGATATTTTGTTTAAAGGAGAATTGCCGTCGGATGACATCACTCGGCGGTTTCTTTCTCACTTTTAGGTAAATCTAATGTTATACCTTTTCCCGAGTGGAAAAGAGTAATCATAAAAAATACTGTAAAATCAGCTCTTTTAGCACTCTCAGATGAAGTGATAAAAAATTTGCGTGCAAATTCTCAATTGAAAAAAAAAGCAACTTCCAAAATGTTTGTGAAGTAAAAGGCCATCCTTGACCTGAATCTGCACCTTAATTTAGATAATTTTTCACACTTCTCATTTTTTACACACAAAATTTGAAAAACATTGAATCATTGATGCCTCGTTGGAGTAATTTTTCATTTCTTAAGCTTTTTGTCAGATAAACTGAACAAAGAAAATAGACCATTGCTGAAGCATGCCATTAAAATTTTAAACTTTTAGTTATCGGTTGTGTTTTGCGAAGCGGTTTCATGGTGAACATGATTCGGTTCTCAACTTAAAAATTAACACATGATTAAACTACGTATGTGTCTAACTCCTTCCATTTATTATTTAAATGTTTGTTCGACTAATTTTATTCTCATTCATTCTTTGCAGTCGGAGCTAATCGAGACCTTTGGTTTGAACATTCATCGCATTGATAAGGATGTTGATAGGTGCGATCGAAATTATTGGTACTTCACACCCGACAATTTGGAAAAGCTCAGAAATGTCATGTGCACGTAAGTGTTCAAAGTTTTTTCTTTCTCTTTTTTCTCTGCCAGGAATGTGTCGAAATACTTAACTAATCTTGCTGGAGATATCAAGGATCTAGAGTACTGCAAAATATTTTTTGCCTGCTCCCAAAATGACTGAAAAAAGCTATTAAAGGTAACTTAAGATTAAAAAAGTATGGCAATATTAGTTGAGCTAATTTTACTTCAAAAATAACTTATGAATGAAGATATAGTCATGACAGGCCACTTCAAAGCCTCAACTCTCTTCAATTAAAACGTCGTTTTAAACTTAGTGTCCATTCTAGTACCTACGATGCCTCCATTTATCCATTATCAAAAATCAAAGAGTGCGAGACCCCATTGAACTGAGATGAGATACAAATATAAACTCAAAAGACAAAGAGCCAGGATCCAAACCAAAAATAAAGGAGGTAACAAATTGTGGGTGCATAACTACAAAAGTATGTGTCAAATTCGGAAAGAAAAATTGTTTTAATATGATTATGCACATTTGTCTTATGTTTAATTTGATAGTAGAAGTTCAGGGGCTTAATTCATTGATGGGTTGTTTTCAGGTATGTTTGGGAGCACTTGGACGTTGGATACATGCAGGGCATGTGCGACCTCGTAGCTCCTTTACTCGTCATATTTGACAATGAATCCATGACTTACGCTTGTTTTTGCAAATTGATGGACCGCATGGGAGCCAATTTCCCCCACAGCGGAGGCACCATGGACACACATTTTGCCAACATGAGGTAAGTTCTTCGAATCGGAGAATTTTTTCTTAATTTCAAATTTATAAATAGTTCATCTAAAGAACAACATTTCCGTTTTTCAAAAGTAATTAATCAAATGTTCAAAATTTGAAACAAATAGATTGTCCCCAGAATGTACTTGGCCAAAACTTGGGGATCCTGAAAAACTTAAAATTGAATCGAGTTTTTTGCTAGGGCGTAAGTTCATTTAAATGTTTTACAATTGCCATAGACGGTGGTCTTGTAAAGATGAACTACCTATCCAGAAAAAATCAATCGAGAAATTTCACAGAGTTTGGTTCGTTTTAGAAAGAAAACTTTCCCACAGAATTCACTCCATTGTCTACTCATACCTACAAAAATAAAACATCTTTAGTAATTTTTTAATACCGCATTGCAAGTAGCAAAACGTTAAAATGTCCTCAGCAATTTTATGACATAGTAATGCAAATGGCAAAACTTTTCAATTCATATGATTGCCAATACTAAATACATTGTGTGCAAATCCATAAATTTATGCGGTGAAGGATAAAGTTGGATGTAATTGGACATAAGATGGATAAGGATATAATTGTAATGAAACGAGCCTAGCTAAGGATCATAAACGTTCCTTTTGATCTAATTCCCAACAAGATATCTAATAGATGTTCTTACATTTATTTTCACAGGTCTTTGATTCAGATTCTTGATTCCGAAATGTTTGAATTGATGCATCAAAACGGAGACTACACTCATTTTTACTTCTGCTATCGGTGGTTCCTCCTTGACTTTAAACGAGGTGATGGATTTTTGAGAAACAAATTGATTTTTTCCAAAAATAATGCTAGATTATAGCGAAATATAAAATAATTTTGAAGAAACAAGTCTTTCAGCGTGATGAAGTGTGCATTCATTTCCACTACAGTCAGCCTCAGTGGTGTAGTGGTCTAGGCAGTTTGCTGCCAACAGTTAGATCCCGGGTTCAATACCAAAGTGTTGGAAAAACGGTATTTTAATGAAGTGCTCCTTTGGTGTTCTGTTCATACCTCTGCAGTCAATACTTTTTCAGGACTGAGAGAAATAAAAACATTTCTGGAAAAATGGATTATTTTGTGGAAGGTCCTGGCCAGAGCCATAAACGTTATACTTTTCTTGCAATTAGCCAAGTTGGGGGATATTTAGTTAGATCATTTTTCATTAAGGTAATGAGCCATTGCTTCTCTAGTTATTATTATTTGGGCATGGGTAGAATTAATCATTTATTCGGAGAAAATCAGTAATTTCAGACTTTTGTAACCGATAGTCACATGTCTAACTAATTCAACAAAGCTAAAAATTGAAATCGAAAACATTCGTCAATCACTTCAATGAAAATCGAATAATTTCTGTTCAAAAGCTCCAACCCCATTTATTTGCGACTGTCAAAATTACAAAGAATTAAAAAAAAGCGGAAAAAATGAGGCCATACAAGATTATTGGTGAACAGAACTAAATTATCGTAACAGAGCAAAAAACTATCACACATCCTACAGGGTGTCTACTAAAACAGGCTGGTCAAAAATAAGTACCTTTACAGTACTTTTTCAGTACATTCTCGAGAAATTCAGTACCTCCTCCAACAGAAAAATTCCGTACTTTTTCAGTACCAACATTTGACGAAATTAGAAAAATTTCAAAAATTTGAAATTGCGACAAAAATGACAAAAAAATTAAAAAAATTCCGGACCCCTTTGCGGACTTTTCTCGTTTTTTCAGTACTTCCGGACCGCCCTTAAAAAATCAGTACTATTTCCGGACTTGTAGACACCCTATCCTAACTGTCTTGATAAACAATGTTTGCTGGAAAATGATAAGAAATGAGTAGACAGTGGCAATTAGTCTTCGGAGAAGTGATTTGGACGTGTTTATGCTAAAAGGAGCTATGTCTCACGTAAACCCTATGCACATGGTTCCTTTTAGCTTTAGCTCAATGTAAGATGGCTATGCAGATTGTCATGTTGAATCACTAAATGCCCAATGGAAACCAATGGCACCCTATGCAGAAAGGTGCTTTCATGGAAGAGCTAGAGACAGTGGTTCTTTATTGCAAAATGTAATCCAGTTGATGTAGTGGGTCCCTAGGTGAAGAGCGCGGTTCACACCCCATGATGCAACAATGTTTGAAATGAAAAGATCAAAACAGTAATAAAAAAAATTGTTAGGAATAAAAAATTGGATAGGAGGTAATGAAAAGGAATTTAAAATTCAAACTAATGACGCAGTTTATCTTTTTTTAGAACTGGTTTATGAGGATGTTTTCACTGTGTGGGAGACAATCTGGGCAGCAAAACTGATTTCATCAGCACACTTCATGCTATTTATTGCTCTGTCGTTGGTGGAGACGTACAGGGATATAATTCTGAGTAACGTTATGGACTTCACCGACATTATTAAATTCTTTAATGGTAAGTAAGCCATGTTTTTAATTTTTCAATTTTTCAATTACTTCCTCTAGATTAAACATGATAGTTACAACTCTCCCAGTTTTTAGGGTGAATAAAAAAATGTTGCTTCATCCCTGAATGTTGCTTTTACATGGATTTGATCACATTTAAATCGATTTTTATCACGTCACACTTTGATGCTTCGCAAATATTTCTTTATCAGTAATTAAGATTTAAAGTTCATTAGACAATAAAATTTTGGGGAACATCTGTGAATTTGGTTAATGTATTTCAGAATGAAACTAGACAACTCTGGATTAATGGGTTTTAGAATTATCATTCCTTCCTCTTTCGATAGAAAAACACACTAAAAAGTGCAAATTGACTAACTACTCAAAATTGGTGCAAAATACTCTTCATACAGGGAAAAAAGTCAGAAAATATCTTAAGACAGGCCGTAGAATAATTTCCCATGCAGTATACAATATTGCAAACTGAGATGCATGGTTTTCGTTAATAGAAGATAGAAGTATGACAAATGGTATGAGATAGAGAAAATTACGACAGCCCTTGAGTAGATGAAATTCCTTTACTTTTGTACATTGCCACAATAAAAATGGAATACACATGTTCTATACATTTTTCCCTGTTCAACAAATTATTGGCTACCAATGTTTCTAATTTGAATTACAGAAATGGCCGAGAGACACGACTGCAAAGCTGTCCTAACTCTTGCGCGAGATCTTGTGCTCCAACTGCAAACTTTGATTGAAAATAAGTAAAGAGGATTGTTCTTTCGCTACCTTTAGTTCTAAATCTTCCACATTTTGTCTGTTCATACCATCATAAACACTTTAATTTGTTCACCTTTGAAAGAACTCAAAGAAAAAAGGGACATCAATCTGCTAAGGTTTTTACTGGCATTTAAAAGAGAAGTTTACAGAGCAAGCTATTTTTTTTCAATTCCTATGTATTTGTCAATGGTAAAATTGACCTACTAAAGCAGTACTTTGAAAAATATTGTGTGCAAAGGAAGTACTAGTGACTATTTTTAAGTTAAAACGAAAAGATAAAATCGTTGATAAGCTAATAATAGCAAGATAAACAACACAATATGCATTATGGCTCATCTTCACATCAAGACTCCCGATTTGGGTAACACAAATTGACATTCTTTGCCTTGCTAAAATGCAGTTGACGCTAATTTAAATTCATACCTGATAGGAGTCATTTTGCTATTTTCTACACCTCACTTTACTATTTCTATTTTTCGAAATGCACCCATTGTTTTTTTTTTGGTAACTCAAGGCCTATTAATCAGAGCCGCTGATCTTTTTATACTTAATTCTATTTGAAAAAGAAGAATGCAATATCCGTCACTATTTTTAAGTTCATTGCTCATAATTAGAGTGCACTTTTATCAATATTTTGACTTGCGTCAATTACCTCTCAACTCCACTGGTCCCAATAAAAATAGACAACTTTTCAAACTCAGCCTCTGACAAATGAAAAGATGTAACGTTATTTTTTGAATGATTTGGTTATTGTAAACAAAAAGTTTTGGGCTTACAAAAATTCTGATTTTATTTGATTAAAGTTGTAAGTTCAACTTTCCTCATGATGCAGCGACTAAGGGTTTCACATTATGAAGACATTCCTGTTTTACCTATTTTTTCTTAAGAGTTATAATTTATATTTTGTTATTATATATGTGTAAGTTGTACGTGTTGATGAATCAAAATTTTAATTTTCAATTGTTATTATTTTTAATGCTAAGACTTTAAGAAGGTTTAATCTTGTTTTGTTAAAAAAAAAAAAAAACCAAAGATGCTATCTTTATAAGTATACATGTTAATATAATTGTGGAATTATCAGCCTGTTCTTATTTTCTGCCCCCTTTTCTACCATCCGACTAAAACCATTTCCGTGACTTAATGCAATGTTCCATCAAACGCGCACTGAGCAACACTGCCATTGATGAGCACAGCCGTCCACAAAATTGTGCAAACATTCTTTGTTGTTTCCCCTCATCCCTGACGGTTGAGGGCACTCTTATTGATTAAACAATTACTTAAACGACTTAAGAAAATGTTAGAATTCTAGTTTTTCGTAATAAATAAAACAAGGTTTGAGCGAGGGTGACCGATACCTCTTTGATGCTCTCTTTTGTTTCTTCCAAACCGTAGTCCATGACCAGATTGTAGAGGTCCGCGTAAAACTGCAAAATAGATGATCCTTTGTAGAGGTTATAAATATAAAAGGCATTCTAAAGGTGAGTTTTCATGTTTTTTCCTCCCAGTAGATGGCAAAAGAAAAATAAATCGCTGACGAGAGCATCACACATTCACACCTGATGATGGGATTTAATAATCGAATTTCCTAGCTACAAAACTTCAAATTTTACTGTTTTGGCACGATGTTCATCGTTATTGGTGGTGTTTTCAAGGTTTTTTACAAGTGTTGCTCCTCTGGAGCAAATAAACAATAAAATTACTAACACCACATACCTCCATTGTGGAGTTTTACAATGTCTGATCGTGTGTGATTTTGTTGAAAAAATATTACTTGACACTGTTTAAAAAAAATTCAGATAATTTTCTTGTAAGAAAGAAAAAACACACACATAGCTCAGGAACACAAGTCCCTTTAAAAATTTGAAAAAAAGCAAAAAATCTCCTACCATGAGAACCGAAATACGAAATACTGTAAATTCGTCGTTGAAATATTTTCTCCAATAAATACCTAAAATGCAGCTCTAAAATGAGCAGCACTTTATTTGCCATTATGTATACAGAGTTAGAACTCAATTTATCAGATTGTGATGTAATGAATTTTGCAATTCAATGGATCGATCTTCTGGTACCTTCAAGAGCTATTTCAAATTAACGGACTCGGCGATTTAACAGATAGATATGTCAGTCCTGTAAAATCCAATAAATCAAAATCTTACAATGTATTTCACAAATTTCATAAAAATTGGTAATTAAAGCAGCACCTGATAACCTTACTGCCCTGGCAAAAAATTCAGAAAATCTGTGAGCGAAAGCAGATTTTCTGGAGCATTGTTCACCTTTCGGAATACTCCCTTCTTCAGAGAGAGGAAGGGGCAAATAGATATGTGTTAGTCGTCTAAGTCTTAGTAAGTCTGAGAAATATGAGAATTGTACTCACGCTCATGCCCTCTATTCCTTCCTCCATAAACGCCTGACTCACTTCCGTGCAGACCACCAATCTGGCGCACCAAGGTGTGACCAGTAACATCTGATAATTGGTCTGAAACACAACGTCAGAGCTTTAGGAAGCAAAAATGCGGTGTGGAAAAATTGGACTTCATTTTGCAATTAGGAACTACAATTTCAGTTATTTAGAATCAAAGTATGTACCATTAGTTTCCCTATGCACATAAGTGCACTTACCAATGAGCCAGAGCTTATAGGTACTTCCGAATTAAAAGCAGAAGTCCCGGTTCTTCTTGCGCGAGACCTTTCTTGAAAAATCAAGGACCTCCAGAGAACTTTTCAAGTGAAAATCAAGCACTGCTTTCGCATTTCCAATGTAACTGACATTGAAGTTCTCCCTGTACTCGCTAATTTTTGCTGTTTCCCCATTTAAGAGACAATTTACGATTACTTTTGACAAATTTCCTTAATTTTATCAAGATAATTATGAGCAATTATAATATTTTGATAAGAAAAAGTGTTGGACCTCCTCGAATACAACAAAACAATTTAAAAATGGTTGTAAGTAAAAAATCTGAAAAATTTTGAGACGGCAAAGTTTCTAGACCTGCAATCATTTATATGATACTATGTATTCTTACTAACTTACCCATGATCATGTTTGATCATTTATGTGTAATCATTCATTGGATAGGACCCAAGTCTACAGACACTTTTGAGATATAAAAGTTTTGGTCAAGTTGGATAGAACGATCCAAATCTTAGTTTTTAACAGAAAATACTTTATAGCATTCCGCAAGATAAAAACAAGATTGCAAGTAATTCTGTTCTATCTGTGTTAATTAAAGTTGTAAGGATAAAAAATTGCCGATTTTGAATTCCAAACATGTCAGGATAAATTTTCAGATAACCTTTTCTCTGAAGTACACTTTTTGGACTGCAAACTTTGACGCATTATGACTGCAGTTTATTTAATGATCTGGATTTTTATTCTGAGTCAGAATTTTAGTGGGAACCACCTGTACCCAATGACGTCAATTTCTCAATTTGAGTTTCTTGGCACAAAGGTTTAAACAGAGAGGATTTAAAAAAATATTTAAAATTTGCATTCACTCACCAATTTTTGTTTCGTTTGTCGTGCCAATTCTTTGATTTGAAAGACAATATTCTCATGAGCAGCCAGTAAATTCCAACGCGACCAGGAAAACATGTGAGTAGTTGCAAGAAGAGCCATACAGTGGTAGACATGGTTCTCTGTGATTTGGTGTTTGTTCCTTGCGTTCTCGAGGTAAAGAAAAGCGTCGTCAGGGGGAAATAAGTCTACGCCGCCTTCTCTTAACAACTAGAAAGACAAGTGAAAATGAAGTAAACTTTAAAGGATCAAATGCAAGATTAATGACTGAGAAAACATCTGTTGAAATTCCTCTGATTGCTTGCTCATTATGACGTTTTAAATAACAAAATCAGGCATTTTGGCATCTTTTTTTTTTGGGGGAGGGGGGTTGCGAATAAGTATACTTCTGCCGAGCTTTGAATATAAAAATGCATTTGTATACATGACATATCGACGGTGAAACTACCAAACCACGTATCTCGTTTGCGGTGTTTAAAAATCTACGCTTACATTTTATTTTTTTGAAGTAGACCAAATCAATATCATTCCTTGAAATTTTCACGGAATTTTCTCAGCACAAAGAGGAAAAATCACAGAAATTTTCAAGACTGAATGTTAAGTAGTTTTTCATTTAAAAAATAAAGTATGACAGGAAGTCTGCGACGGCGCAAACCGAGATACGTGGTTTGGTAGTTTCACCGTCGATATGGAACCACGGTAAAATGTAGCAGCATTACAGTGGTTTGAATGTCCGACTTTAAAAAAGATACTTACCTTCATTAATTTATGTGGCTTGTAGAAGATTCCTACTAACTCTTGGAGTGCTGTGCTTGTAGCATTTTGAAGCTGATTCAAACAAATTTCATCATTCTGTGAGCAGAGAAAAAAGGAACGAAAACTATGATAAAAATTCTCCCAAAAAATACAAACGTAAAAAAACGTTAGTTAAAAAAAAATCAATGACTGGGCACTCAGTAATTTTTGTTACGGTCCGAAATGGTGGAAAACCCTAGAATTTCTTTTGATCTGAATCTTCTAATTTTATGACGAAACTGCTTTAAACGCTACAACCGTTTCCAAAGATTGATCACATCGTCAGATGTTCCAATGTAAATAAAAATCAAAACTTAAATTTAAGTCAATAGTGTAATCACTGATTAATGGTATGTATCTCGCTTTATACTTGCGCGAGTGTTTACTTGAAAGCGCTGCGAGAGCAGGGTGAATATCCTCAGAAAACAGTGGAAAAGCAAAGGGTTAGGGCTGCTTACTTTGACAAGAAATTCAACAATGATAATGGCGGCTGTGATGGAAAATGATATGGTACTTCCAGGGCCAGGTCGGATTTCCCATGTCTGGTATGGGAGGTTGCTGAATCGGAACGTCGCCAGTCCAAATGGACGCATGCGACCAGCGCGAAAAACAACAACCTGCAACACATGAATTCTTAGTAGTTGTTCCCTTTTTTCATCATCTCTGGGTTCTCCTTGAATTTGCATCTATAAATCTGTTTTGCAAAATAAAGGGGAAAAAACACACTCGGGATAAGTAAATAATCTATTGTCATGATGTCATTACCTCAAAACTCATGACTACTTTTTATAGAGGCTTAAAATATATTCTCACGGGCTACGATTACATGCTGAGAAAAACTATTTACATAAAATCTTTGCTTCTCCTTTTTTCCCAGAACTAGGGATCCTGATTATCAAAGGGCTTGTCGATTGAGAGTTTAACAAAACAGTGGTTGCTTGATTTGTGCAGCGCAAAATTTTTATTCAACAGCTCTAGACAGTAGAAAATTAAAATAAAAAGGCAAAAAATCTTACCTTTCTTTAAAATGGAAAAATTAAGCGCATCTCTTTTTACGGTACCTAATAATTTTTGAAAAAAGTTTGCGACAAAGAAGGGGACATATTCTGATTTTGATGTTCAGACGATTTGGATGCTACCAAAGAACTTTGAACTGGAACAATTACTACGGGAAATTCGATTTTCTTCCAACAGTATATATTTGTGCACAAGGAAAGTAGAAAAAATTAAGGCTTCATGTCGATATGCCATTCAAGATTTCTGATAATAAAATTGAGTTAAAGTAATTTGTAAAGGTTACTTTTATTTTCAGCAAAAAAATACCTGTTTTTCTTCATTAAATTTTTGGTCGAATATGTATTGAGTGGACCAATATTTGTGCTGGTCATCCCATTGTACAACTGTTGGTGGTTCAAACCATAATATATTATCCGGTAGCCTGTATTGACAAATTAATTCATTTAAGAATATTTGAAAGAAAATGCAGGAACAAAAGGACATTCTCTTGAAAAAAAAAAAGCGATCTAAGTTTCAACTCCAATTTTGAGTGTGGTTCTCAAAAAATCCTTATTCAAAGACCCCAGATTTTATCTACTGACAGACCTACTTGGAAGAAACTATAAATTCATGAATGTTGCATCCGACTTCACTTGAGGATTTTATAAATCACCTGATTTGGAATCGCTAGTATTAATTAGTTTGTGGGTTTGCATTGACTAATGAGTGACAAACTGACATCTACTTACACGATGCTTATGGTGACCAGTTTCTCAAGTCCTTCTTTCTTAGTTTTAGCTTCATGTTCCTCCTCTTCTGAAGAAGTTTTCGTCTGCAACAATGCATCTTGAGATGGCGCTGGAGGTTCATACAGCTCCAGATAGTTGATCGGCTGGATATTCTGCGGTCCTGTCACTAAAATACACACAGCATTATGATAAAACAATACTAAAAAATTGATGAATAAATATGAGAAAACAATGAACAGCGTGGTCATGGATTTGCTAAGACGAGTATCAATTTTAGTAAAAATTATTAAAATATTTCTACTCGCCTGACTGCCTCTGACTTTTAACGAAGTCTTGAGTCGTTTTTGCTGATGCTCTTTGTCTTTCCTCTGCTAACATTCGCGTGCTCCTCGCTTCCTCACAATTTTATATACATTCCTTTCAAACATAGGTGACTGTCTTGAACTGTACACTTACGTCTTGCTTCAAAATGTCTAATGTTAAAAGACTTCTGCCATTAAAATACATCTGATTATTGTTCTTGTAAGGCTCAATTACGACAATTTTAAAGTACGAAATGGGAAACTCACGCAAAGTCAAATAACATTTATTTGCCAGCTGCTGTGCTTGCGACGGCTGCTGAAGAAGATCAAGATGAAAAACGCCACCAAGAACCACATAGCGTCGCAGATTTATCTCCTTCTCATCTAACTCTAGCGTGAGAGCTTCTCGCAATCTTTCAGCCTTCATCTCTGAAAGTAAAATTTTTTGCAATCAAGTTAGATTAGAGTAGCTCTTGGTTTTCTGTCGGAAAAGACCTTTAAAAGTAACATATTTAAGATAAAAATGTAATGTAGACATTATATCTTCTTTCACGTTTCGTTCACTTTTCTCTTGCCAAAAGATTGTAGGATTTCCAGGTTGAAGACTTTTTAAAGTCGTTCTTCAATTTTCATCTTTCGCTATGCAGAGAGAGCATTTAGTTTTGCTTACTGCCGCAACATTTTTCATCCATACGCTTCCAAATATTTTTCTCCTGCTACAACAAAAAGAACCACTTTTGCTTATTGGCCCTGATAAAAGTTGCAGCCCTTGCTCCTCCTTCCTAAGTTTAGTTCCCACATTATAAAAACAAAATTTTCTCTTGATTGCACCAAAAAAATTTTTACTCAGAACATTCTGCACTAAATTATGTTGAAAATAATTTCAATTAATCAGGAGTAAAAATAATTTTTTGCAATGACTAAGGATAAGTAATGACTGAATTGAACAGATTATTTGCGGGGTAATGACACATTTTCCAGCAATGTCATTAACAACATTATATCAATCATCATTTTTATGTTATTCCATTTAGGTTTAAGAGGTATCTTGTTTGTTCGAAGCAGAAAGTAGCAGAATGAAAAAGACTTTAAAGCTTTTCCTAAAAAAATATTTGTAAATCACTGGCTCAAATTAAAAATGTAAAACTTTAATGCAGCTTTTCAAAAACTCAGATTGTGCTTAATTTAATTTTTTTAAAAAAACTAGCCAAAGTATCTTCTTGTGATATTTTGTAAATATTCTTGAATGTGTGAAAAAAATTTACAAACAATTTCTTCAAAAAACTGTCGATTCCTTTTTTTTAAAATAAAATAAAAAAAGGAGGGACTTGTAATATTGCAATCGAAGATACATATTTATCTGTTTTAGACATTGAAATGCTGATATATGGCCAGACCTTCTTTTTCAGCCCATATTTGATTCGGAGACTTGGCTCTTTGTGAAACTGGTGAGGCAGGATATTCAATCTCTTTTACATCATCATTCGCTTCAGATGGTGGTGAGTCCTGAACAAAAGATATAATAAGTTGAAAGTACGGATTCAATATTTATTTGAAAGTCTACGGTTCAAAAATCATAATTTTAAGAAAAAGCCAACTACAGTTTTTGTCATCGATGTTGAGGCTTCATAATTGTCACATCAAAATGTAACTATTCATGAAAGATAACTTTTAAACTTACGTAACTTCACTTAAGTAACTTGAAAGTTGAAACCGACTATTAGCACAAAAATTTACTGCTTCACGTTAATCTTTGGATACCAGGAAAAACTTTCCGTCAAATATTTCAATTTAGATTTATACTCAATTTGACAAAAAATGTTCCCAAGAAAAATTTGCCTTTGTGTACTGAGGTTCCTTATCTCATGGCTTCATACAAGTACGTAAAAGATGAGATTTAGAAGAGCATTATTTGCCCCCCTACAAATTTTCATTGAAGCTGTCAACAAATTTTGCAACTTTGGTCCTGCTACTTGGCAAAGGAATGCATGCATAAGGCAATGAATATTTCTCCACGAAAGTTCCGAAAATTGTGCAAAACAAAGTTATTTTGAAAGATGCCTAAAGTACAATGTGCAGCAAGATAAGAAGTTACCAGGCCTTTGGAGAGGCTGTCTACATTAGCCAAATCGAGCTGTGCTGCTTTTTCAGACGACGGCGACTGCTCCCCGGATTTCGGAGCACTTTTCGTGAGATCAAACTCATTTTCAGAGCCATCATTCATCGGTGACTGAGACTCAGCCAGCTTCTCAATATCCGCGAGCAGTATGTCTTTTGAAAACGTCTTATCACTCAAGCGAAAGGTTTTCAACGAGTCGGATGCCTCACTTGAAGGAGGTTGATGTCTGAAATGGAGTAGTTACAGAGTAAAGGCATTTAAAATTTTATTATTTTTTCCCCCAAAATATTTGTGAAACACTCCTCTTCGCAGTGAAACCAGTAATTCCATTATTAGTTTTTCGGCAAAGTAGTATTTTTTCTTTTAGATGGTTACAAATAAAAAAAAAGTCTGATTAATACCTGGTCAGTCACTTTACACGAAATTTTATGATATTTTTCCTTCAATTACATGCGAGTTTCATTAACTCAAAAATCCTGAGACTGATTCAAATGTAGGTGTAGGCAGGGATACAGAAAAACTATGGCCAAAGTGCGAAATCACATGTCTCCGTTTGCGACATTTCAGACTTCCTGTTACACTTTATTTTTACCATGGAATCCTATTCAACATAAAGTCTTGAAAACTTCCTTGAAATTTCTTCTCTGCCAGCAGAATACTCTATACTTTCAAGCTATAAAGTTGACTTGTTTTTCTAAGAAAATAAAATATGAGCAGAAATTTTGAAACACTCCGATGGAGATATGTTGTTTTGCACTTCAGTCATCAGAATGTCTGATCCTGGGAGCCAATAATACCCTAGGCTTGCAGGAGAATTTTTCTAGAGAGAAAAATGTTGCATATCTTTGCATCTTCAATCTGCAGAAAAATATGCAATACTGGCGCAATGTTGTTGACCATCCAAACGTTGCTGAGTTATTACTGGCAAAATTTTGAAATCAAACATGTGTGATTTCAAAATTAGAAAAGAAAGTTATCACTTTTGAATTTGGTGGGTAATTTAGTAAAGAGAAAAAAATGTGAAACCCTACCAGAATTGAACTGTAACCAGGTCCGAGATACAAAGTGGAGCTGATGTTAGAGCTATACAGCTCTTTGTTTTCTTCTTGTCTTAGTTATTTTCTTGTTCGGTTACCTACACTATTATTTCGTATATTTCTTTTGGTGCTTTTATTTCCTGTCCTGTAAGTATGTATATGTGAGTGGAGCCGGTCACTGCACACAGCGAGTGAAAATGCGGAAGACTGGATATTTCTGGACCTCTAAATTCCAGACTTTCACTTACTTTGACTTCTTCTTCACGAATAATAATTTCTGCCTCTCAATTTCTTGTTTTATTTCCTCTTCTTCAATTTCCTTACGAATTTTTTCAGTTTCTTCCCACTTTTTATTCGTGAATTCAAAGAGGTCTGTGGAAGAAACAACGGAATCTGGTAATTGAGGCTTGGAGAGGTTTATGCTGAAGTAAGCTTCCATGAGAAATGCAAATTGATAAATTAGATACTAGATTAAATATGAATACCTTTTGCTTAGTGAAATACAATAAAGGCTTGCGCTAAATGAAGGGGCTGACATTACTGAGATTTCGAGCAGAAGGAATTTAAGTCGCAAAAAATTGCAGACATTCTTCAGGTTGATACAAAGTTGAAACAATTGCCACACCAATAATGGAGTTTTTTACCTCCAATTTCCCTTCACTTTAGATCAAGTTATGTTTAAAATCACCGAAATCTCAATTTTTCAAAAAAGTTATCTCCTTCATTTACAAAGGCCTCAACTTGTACACATAATAAGCTACTAGATAAAGTCTGAACTAGACAAAATCATTGCTTAAGAAAAAGGATTCACCTAACAGGCAGTTGAGAGATCAATTCTATGCCTACCATCCTCTTCATCAAAAGAGACTTGCGGTTTGTTCCACGAGCGACTGAGGTCAGAAAAGTGATTATACTTGAGCCACAAAGTGCGGACAGCTATGAAAGATTGAGAAAATTGCGGTGGTAGCTGGATGTTGACTCCGCAATCGGGGAAATCAATGGTCGGTGATGGCCTGTCATCGTTGCTAGATCGCGGGAGCTTCAAAACGCTCCAGAGACTTAGGATGAAAGCGGAGCACTGTTTCAAATACTTCACTGTTTCCAGGTCAATGTGGATCATATTTTCCTCCAAGTTTCGCAGAATCAAATACGTTGCCTTATCGATCCTGCTTTGGAGCTCTTCTCGGAAATCAGATCGCACCTGGGGAGAGCACAAATATAAAGTGAGAAAAAATGAAATAGAGAGGTATCATTGTGATAAATATATCATATTTAATGGTTATTGATGTTTATAAAAACGAGATTGGTAATTAATATGAAATTGTGCTCATATCTGTGGGTGGAGCCAATTTAAGAAAGGGCACTTGTTAATCTAACATTGCTAAGGTTTTGTGACTTAGTTTTTCTTGCACTTGAAAGGAAACGGGCGTAACAATGCGAAAAATATTCGGGAAGATTTCCTCATAAAATTTTCAATTTGTGAGTTTGAGAGAGATAAATTGCAAGGATTAACACTTTTCAATAACAAAAAGATACATCATAAGTAGCAAGATGTTAAGAAAGCACCCTTGTTTCAAAGCAGCCTTCTGTTTCATGTGTAATTTCACATAATGATACAGACATTTTGACATAATAAGTTCTGTTTATCAAAAAATGAGTCTTTCACTATCAAAGAAATATTATCGTTCTTTATTCTCAGAAAAATTTTAAATAAAATTGTGATCCGCAAAATATAGGATTTGATAAGGGAAATCTAATAATTGAGCCTTGTTTGGTTTTAGTTTCAATTTTCGAGAAATTCTTCTGGAATTAAAAAATAATAAAAAAATGACAGATGGAGATTATGAGTCCATCTTGCAATTTATGTAAAATTTAAAAATTTAAAAAATTTAAAAACTTTTAAAACAATTTTTTTAAAAACACTCACTTGCATAAACTATTTCAATTTTCGGAGCAAAAATTCTTTTGAGCAAAATGAAAGAACTTGCTATACTTTTATACATAGGTATTTGATTTTTTGAATGAAACTTAAAATTTTCCATAAATTACTGTCATCCAAAGGAACAACCTTCCAAAATTTAATAGGATTCGTTTAGATATCTTTCTTTTTAAAAAAATGATACATGAATGAACATGTTGAAATAATGCAGGTGAATAGTTTACTTTTGATTGCATGGATAAATTTATTAAGTACGAATAAATTTCACTTACAGATTTCCACATTTCCACAGTTAGCGGTGGTTTATCAAGAGGAATATCTATAACTTCATTCAGATAATCCAGTAACTGTTGCAAAAAAATAGAGACAGGGTTACTTGCAAGATAATTATGATTTCATCAAAACCATCAAAGAAAAGTTTGGATCCAAAATCTTAACATTAGTCGGTCCTGCTTTTCAGATTTAAGAGACTTGAAAACTCCTTCGACTGCCATTTGGCAATTTCCACACAAAGGAAGTTTTACATGCACAGCAAGATCCGAGAAAGGACATATCTTTTCAGATAATAGATTAGATTCTGGAATTGGAGTTGGGACGTTGGTTGGGGTCAAATTTGATGCTCAAGGTATAAAATAGATCAGGGAAAAGACAGGAAAATACATTATTCTGGAACTGACAGAGGGCCTTTTTTTGGGTTCCCATACAATTAGACATGCTTTAAATCTCGCAAAAATTGGGCTGCAAAATTTGACTATAGATGATGAGCAATAATTATATGATGCTCTATGCTTCTCCATAAATTGTTTAGGATTTGACCGTGTATTGAGGCCTATCAAAATGAATGCGTTGTGCAAGGGTGGATTATTTTCATTTGATAAAAGAAAATAAATAACAAACCTTTAATACTTCAAGTGCCCTCCGTTCTGCATGATCTATTGTGTAACAATCTGTCTCTAGCTTCCACAGATACAGGTATGTGTTCATTGCGCTGATATTGCTTGGAAATGGCAGACCATCGTTGTTGATAAAATGTTGCCACTGAAACAGTCAACAGACTTTTAAACACTTTGCAGACAAAACTAAAGAACTTGTAGGCTATTCAAAAGGTGAAATTTTCTAAAAATGCAGGTAAAAATTTCTCCCTTAGATAATAAAAATATTGTGAAGGAACACAAAACACATTTGTTTTCCAGCCAATAACAATTACAGAATTGAATTTGATGTTTTGTTAAAACAGATACTTAGTTCAGGGATTAGATCCAAAACTTGGCAGCAATGCTTCATAACATAATATGACACACATATGTATAATAAGGTGTGCTACTTATGCACAAATTATAGAGATGGGCTAACTTGGAAAATTAGACCAGCATCTAGGGTTAGAGCAAAATGGATAAGGAAATATTGTGACAGAATGTTTGTGTAAATATTATGAATATAAGAAAAAAATTAGATGACCTCTATTTGATCTCTGCATGCGATATCTTGTTGCGTTTTACTTTCCTTCATCTGCGCGAACAGTTTACATGAATTGACGAGTGTTTTGGTTCGGATGGCATGGTTGGCGAGCTCAGTTTCTCTTTTAAGTTTGGCGAGTCTTTTCTCCTCTGCAGCTTTTCTCTTCTTTTCTGCAATCTGTCTTTGTCTAGTGAAAGAGAGGGAAAATGTTTACTGATGGAAAACGATTCATTAGTCTACAGATAGAAATGATATTTTAGGAAATTTTGCGTAGAGTGCCTATCGCTTGTTTTAAGACTTAGAGAAAATAATTTTAGCCGTTTTAGAAAAATTTTGAGGGACTATGAATTTTTAGGAATACGAACTACAATCTTTTGCAAGCATGGCGTGTTTTCTTAATTTGCTGGCAATTTGTGTGAGAGAAATTGGCTCTCCTAGAAATTGAGAACATTTATGTGCACAAACATTGATGATCCTTAGAGATGGACTTTGATAAAGATTTTTTGCAGAAATGGATCACATTCTGTTATCTAATGTGGGACTGGTGGAAGCACTTGTGGTTATGCATTAGCCATAGCTGTTTTGCGTATTATTCAAGAAACTTGTCTAAAACTTCGTTCAACAAAAAGTTTCGGGTCGCTGAGTACTTTTGGTCAGCTGGCTGTTTGCTTAAAATTTTGTGAGCAACACTGATGATTAAAAGGTTTTCAGGTACCTAGACACCTCATTAGATTTATGGAGTACAAGAATGGGAGAAAATGACTCAGATTCGATTATTTACTTTTATCAAGATCTGAATGATAGAATCAAATCCTCCTGAAAAAAATTGGTGAGTGAATTACTGAAGATATAGATTGCTCTGGTAACTCCACCAAATAATTTGAATCAACTTTTTTTAAAAGCTCTCCTTTGGTGCTTACCTTGCAGCCTCTAGCTCTCTTGCTTGCTGCTTTGCCTGCTCTTCTTTGAGTTTATCACGTTCTCTTTTCGTCAGTTTTTTCTTCTTCGGCTGAAAAGCAAAACACCAAAAATTTTGATGAGTTCCAATTTGAAGAATGATAGGTCTCTGATTGCTGACAAGAAAAATGAGAATAGGCTGGTGACAACAGACTAGCTGATCACTAAAGGCACATAAAATTACCCACCAGTCTGTAGTCGTTGAGGCAGGTCTCAGTTGATAAGCAGCTATGATGAAAAATGAGTTTGATGAGAAAAATTGGTTCCAACTGATAAGTATTTTAAATTTTTAGTAATTATGATACTAGTATGAAACATTTGAAATTCCAATCTGCAGTGTAATCTATGGGAGCCTGGGTGACCAATAAACTCCGCAAGTGAACAATCCTTCGCATAGCTATCTAACATTGCAAAGTTCCGTCGACAAACCTGACCCCGATGTTTGAGTACCAGCTATCATCAACACATCCAGCTTTGGCATAAGATGTATGATGATAAGTCACTATGACTTATATCCCTTATCATTAATGCTGAATGCTGTTCTTCATTCACTCGCAGATGCCATGAGCCATGAGCCCTCAGCAAGGGGCAAGTGATAGACTCTTTCTATCACAACTCTATCAAAGCCTCAGAAGGAAGGCTTGAATGAATGGGCTTGCCCTGACAGTATCATTTCTTTCATTTGGGGCTTAAAATGGATGTAAGGCAAAATGTATTAGAGGTAAAAAAAAACCGTGAGAGCAAACCTTGTTCATTCTGAAGATCCAAACGATAACAAAAACTGGAAAAAGGTGGTTTGGAACCTGCTGTAGTTTACAATTTCCTGTGACTGTTGATGTTTATGCTGGTGATTACTTTAATTGATACGTTTTAAAGGAATGCGCCACGAAAAACCACGATAATTTATCACATATTTATTACAATAACAAAACACAATAACACATGTGGGCGCATAGAAACAATCAAAACAAACAAGTAAACAACGCGGGGGGTGGGGGAAAGAGGCGATCTATCACCTCTGATTGGCTGTCTGCTCCCGCCAATTTTGACCATCAGCTCTATTGCCAGATTTCTGATTTCTCTCCTCTTTCACCATATTAACATTTTTGTGCATTTTACCTACTGCAGAAAAATAACTGTGAATGAAATGCGGAAAATATCAATGCTTAAAAGACTACAAAAATCGATTCCCACAAATGCCTAGATTGGAACGAGAAAACGGTTGGGTTCTTGGCAAAATTGCATTAAGTATCTCGATATTTGTTAATCGCTGTTTTAAAATGAAACCTTGAAATCGAGTCAAGTGTTGCAAGAAAAGTTCTTAAAAAAGTTTACAAACTATTACCTACATTGTGCCATCTGATAAAAAATGCCGAACGACTAATCTATATGCCGTAGCAGTTGAATTTCCAGAGTATTTTCAGTTCGCCTTCAATATTGACTGCTGCAATTGTTACTACTGGAAAGAGGTGCGTGACAATTTTGGCGTATTAGGTAGGTACATAAGTGCAGTTCTGTTTTCACTAGGTAGTCAAAAAATACATTTTTCAAGTTCCGAAATTACATAGAGGTTTGAGGTGAAAGGAATGTTCAAGCTCACTTTTTGATGCTTAAAAATTGGATTTTAATAGTGAATTTTTCACAGACTATATTTTAAGACTATTAGTTGACATCATTAATACCACAATTTTCTTCAAAAACTGCACTTCCGCGCTTTGCCCTCCAAGGCTTTTAAATGATGTAAAGTTTTGATAGACCGCACACAGATGCTGTTAAAGGATTGTTCCTGCTTTTCCGGTTTCCATTGAAAGCATATACCTATGCAGCTTCATTTGTAAAATTTATTTTGAAAAAATCTTGCCAAGAAATTATAAAAACTGATTTAATGGTGTGATGAGAAGAATGGTTCCTTGAGGCATTCGTAACTTGAGCACTTAAGAATGAGACGAAGGCATAGTTCTAATTGGCTAGACCTGAGGCAGTGAATTCGTTAACAGTTCAAAAACATCTTTGGAACCGAGGACTCAGTTTGCTCAGACATTTCTGGGTGTTTTACCAAAATTTTCCTTCGAAACTCCTCTATCCAGCAGTATCACCTAAATTAGTTGTGCTATTTTTTCGTTTGTTGTTAGTTACAAGGGGCCTTTTCCCTTGGATGCATCACAAGTTGTTGTGATATGACATAAAAACAGGAAGTCCCTAAATTGATTCATTCTTTGCTTGTTCGACTTGAAAACTTTGCAGAACTGCTCAAATGGTGAAACTTGATGCATAGTTTTTAGCAAACCTAAAAAACACAGCTGCTGACAATTTTTTATAAAAAACGTCTGTTGCTAAAGCTCATAGATCCCATGGTAACGAGTACTCCAATTTTTAAGTTGTTGAACTAGCCAACTGGTTATAAACGTTGATCTAGTCAACTGGGATAATTGGCAGGAACATCAGTCCGGCAGAGGCCTTCTTTCCTCTGTTGCTGAAAATAACGGTTACCTTACGGCTGGTCACCCAATGTGAGAGACAATTTTGCCTCTAGTTTAAATTTTCATTTGCTCAATTTAATTTTTTTATGTGACGCATTGATCTGACAGCGGCTACAACAACAACAATACTTGGTGGGTATGCCAGACTAAAGAAAAACTGAATTGAGGGTAAATATCAGAGATAAAAGCAAAGCTGTCAAAGAATTGCTTATATTGAAAAAAAATAATGCATTCAAGAATATTTCACAGTTGATGAGAGCCAAAATATAAAACTTGGACAAAATAGCAAACAAATGAAGTGGATACAAACCATCAAACAAACAAATACATGAATACATAAAAATAATACTAATATGTAAAATAAATTATCAACGCACAGTACTGGAAGTGATAACAAAATAAACAGACAACTTGCAATAAACATGAATACATAATTGCTTACATATGGCCCAGGTTTTATAGCTAATGGTAACTTACACTGAAATAATAATTTGTACGTTTCACTTCTTAATAGCGAGCGATCTGAGCATGGTTGGTAGAATTAGACTAGATCATGTGCAAAAGCTTGTAGAAACTTGGCAGCAAAGACAAGTTCAAATTTGAAGGATTTTTTCACTCTTCCGTGAATTTGTCCGTTTTCTTTCATGACAGTGAGATGATACAAATAGGAAAGAAGCATTTGAGTAATTTTTGTATCTTCTTTTTGAAGATTTGTTACACCAGAAATATTCAGAAAGATCTTAACTAAACTTTTGTTGAGTATTAGGATTTCCATTTCATTCTTTGTTTTTCATTTATTTTCCTCCCAGATGGATGTATACTGAATAATAATTTCGAGTTTTCTTTCTTTGATTTGAGAATAAAATCAACTGACATTTACACAGAATTTGAACCAGCTTTACGATTTCTGAAAATCACACAAATGGTTTAATTTTGACTCTGTGCTACAAGTGCAAGCAGAGAGCAATTGAAATTGTAAGAATAATGCTGTCAAAGGAAATTTAATTGCTAAAAGTTTAAAGTGAATCAATTTTAATATTAATTATAACACAGAAAATCACACAAAATTAAATCATTGCTACCAAAAAATAAATTGTACTTGATTTTCTATCCTACTTAGAAAGATACAATGTCAATGGCCATAATAGATTGAACAGGTTAAAAGCTATGGGGTTTGGTTTTTTGTTTGTCTTAAATTGCCTGACTGAGAACCTTCATTGTTTAACACATATTGATGACTGAAGAACAATACTGCCAATCTGCAAACTGACAAATTCGCAGGATGAGGAGAAAACTTGACCATTTTTGTAATTTTCAGGTTAGATTTTCAATTTTTTCATACATTACAGCGCTCCCATACGGAGTTTGAAAAAACTTAAAACATGAGCTTGCATATTTTATACTGTGGAATGCGGCAAAGTTGTTAACTCATTTCGGCCAAAATTCTCAGTCAGGCGGTATTGCTCCTTGGCCCTCGATATGATACATTAGAATCAAATTGGTTTGAAGTACCTGTTTGATCATAAAAAAAAGGTGTTAGCTCTCATTGAGTATTGCTGTTCAGCCTATCAAAAAATTGCCCCTTCTGGAAAAACACGGGAATTTTGTTCAAACGAAGCCTAAACAAAATCTCGTTTGAACAAATCCCTGAGTTGCCCCCAAAAAGGCACAAAAAGGCCTTTTCTTAAAACAGGCTTCTTGAAGAGAAGAATAAGAATAAATCACTATTATTTTAGACCAAAGCAAAATACATGGCTTTAAAAATAAAATGGATGGTAAAAATCAATGATGAATTTGAATGAGTTTGAATTACTGTAGTACAAAAAGCGTCAGGCGCCTCTTTTTTTTTAGCTGACAGTTTACAAAAGAAAAAAAGATTCTATAGAATTCATGTCATATACAAGTTTATGGATTTAAATACTAATCCTTTACCTTAATTCTTGAGCCTGCTACCCCTGATAAGAACAAGGAGCATGATTAATTCGTTTGAACTTTTTTCAGAGTGTAAAACAACCCAAAAAAGGGAAGAAAAAGCTTAGATGTCTCCAATTATGAGGGTGTAAAAAAGATGTAAAGTGTTCCATAAAAAATTTACAGAGATGACTCATAAACTATTAGCTTTTCTCTCAGTAGCCTAATTAATCATTTTTTGGAAGGTAGGGGGACAACAGCACTTTGAGTTTTCACAAAAACTGCTTCATTGATGGAACACATGTACTTAAATTACATTTTAACTTAGCATTACATTTAATTATTATTAAAAAAAGTTTTGATTAGAGAATTCAAGATCTCGACTACACAACTAAATGGTAACATGTTATGTTCAGTTTACAGATTCTCTTGTGGGATGTTGGATAAACTATGCGTTTTAAAGAGAATCTTTAAGAACCAAAAAAGGAGGTATCATTTAATTTTCAACTCGATTTCTCCTCAATTAGAGTAATATCTTCTGAGTGTCCTCAGGCGTGGCAGCAAAAAGAACAAAACAAATTTTTTTTGGCGTGAAATTTGTACATGAAAGGTTATGTGGTGATAAAATCCATGACTATGGAATCCTAGATCGTAACCAGCTTAATAACGTTCGAGTGTCTGTTTCCAAAATCTCTCTTCGAGGATGTCTGATACCATTTCCGGCGAGCTGCAAGTCGCTGAAAAAAAAAGAGAATTACAAAATCGTTAAAGGAGCATCTATAATTCAAAATAGATTACAGAAAAATCTGAGAAATGCCTATGATGCATCATAAATGAGGATTCAGAGAGGTATTGCTCTTGAAAAATGAACTACAGGTAGATATCAATCCATAAAAGTGTTTCTTAGAGATTTTAATTAAGTTTAGAATAAGTTGGATTTGATTTCTGATTGTGTACAGAAAAACAGAAAATATCTACTGGTTTGGATATTTTAAGGGGACACTTACATGAGTTGGGTTAGATTTCCGACTTCTGGCGGAATTTGCTGAAGATCATTGTTTGTTAGGTTCAGAACTGCCAACTGGGTTAACTGGCTCAAACCTTTGACGTTGAATTTTGAGATTTTATTGTTCTCAAAGGAGATCCTTTCGATGTGAGTGCAGTTAAACAATGGTGAAGGCATTTCTGTGAATCTGAGCAGTCAACAAACAATTATTTTAGTACACTTGAAAAACGAATAAATAATTCAACTATTAATTGATAAGAAGAAGAAAACAAAGCTTTCTCTGATGAGTTATATACACAGCAGATGCAATGGGAAGGGTATTGATAGAAATAGGTTTCCTTGTGAGCTCTAAAACCATGATTCAAAAATGCATCATGCATATGATTTGAAAATCTAGGCAACAAGCCATCCACCATCACCTCTTTTAGCGTTTTAAATTTCTGAGGACAAAACGTTTACGTGACTTTTCTACTCTCATCCTTTACAAATCTTCCTCTACATCTACGATAAAGTTATTAAATTTGCCAGTTAGAGTTTAGATTTGATTAAATGGGAAAAAACAGTAGTTTTTGTTTTTTAAAAATAAAAAGACTGGAATTTTGGAGTTTGGCGATCATTTTAGCAGAGTGCCACTCACTTGATTGATACTTAAAATTTTAAAAGAAACAGTTTCCTTAGTTACAGTGACAAGCCATGAATAAATGTGGAATTAAAACCTGGTAAAAAATTGAAAAAAATATTAAAAAGCGAGAGAGAAAAAACTTACAAATTAAAAGATAAGTCTACTTCTTTGAGATGCTGTAACTCTGAGAACTCTTCTGGCAATCGTGACAGTCGATTGCAGCTCAAATCCAAAAACCACAGATTTATGAAAGGCTTTATGTTTTCTGAGAGGCTGGAAATAGTATTTTTGCTCAGATTCAATTCCTGGAGATTTTTTGCTAGTTTACCCATCCTAAAAGCACAAACAAAAGACTTGTATCACATAAAACAGAATTATATAAAAATTATATCTGACTCCTTGGGTGCGCTTCACTCCTTTCACTGGTAGCTATACGGTAATTTTATTACTCTTTTTAGGAAGGAAGTTCAACATTTTTGACGAGCTAAAATTTGTCTTTTTGCATTTTTGTAATATTGGTTGACAAAATTATTTGGAGTTCATGTCCGGTTTCTTAGAGAAGGGCACTTATTCGTCAAAAAAGGAGTTTTTAAAGGAGAGAAAGAATAGATGGATGGACATAAAAATGGATAGGACAGAAAAACCAAGTAAATGAAGGTTTCAGTAAAGGAATCATACATTGTAAAAAGAACAACAATAATTACAAGGTAAAAAAGAAAACACTACTGGAGAAACAGCCTCTTTTCCCTCCAAAAACTACATTGAGTTTCTGACACCGGCAGCAAATCTGTGATTCCCAGTTAAAAGTCTTAGGCAACGTGTTCAGTAATTTTTAATGCTTGTATGTTTGGTAATTTGAGTGCATTTGGTTCCCAAGAATTTACCAGGCCTCTCTTGGAAGATATTCCGCGAAAAAAGAACTCAAAGTTGCATATTTTGAGCTCCTGTTTAAACACACATCTCTGAAGGAGCCAACATGGTGTCCAAGAATCTCCTTCTTGCCTTGAATACCCATTTAGATTATGAAATATCCTCTTTTAGAATACCCTTCTAACCCTCTCTTTGTAATTGGACTTCATTTTGCTGTTACGAGCTACTATTTTGGGCTATCTGTAAAAACACTTATCTGCAAAGGGAAACTAATGGTTAACATGTTGTTTGTAAACTAAGCCTTAAATTGTAGTTACTTATTACAAAATGTAATCCAACTTATGGTATGCGTAGCCATAATCAATTCATGACTGCTCCGACCATGGATCTCAGCAGAGGGAGGGGGCAGTTGAAAATGTACCCTCAAATAGGCAGATATTTTCCGACTCCATCTTGGTTCCCTCCGCAATGCACCTTTGAATGGAAGCTTAAAATACGTGCACAACTTTTTAACTCTTTTTCCAGGTTTAAAATTGTGAGACAAAAATCCAGGGAAGTTAGTGCACTCTCAGTCATCAGTCTCTCAACAGTCATCAGAGAAAAATTTATCAAGTCGCACAATCTTAGAGACATTCAATTGATTTGTGGTATGGATGTTAAAAGTGACCAATGCGTTAATTTCTAGTTTAAAACCATGAATCAATAATGAAATCATTTGATGCATATGATCCAAATATTTTGATTATGAGGAAATTGATACAAAGAACAAACAAAATTTGAAAAGATAAAAAACATTTTTGAAAAAGCAGACAGAATAACTTACTCAGCAGGTATATCAGTCAATAAGTTATTACTTAAATCAACAAGCTGAACTTCAGCTTCCTCAGCGTCAGTCAAAACAGACTCCGGAACACTCGTCAAACTGTAACCACTCAAATGCAAAGCGCGACGTTTCCTCAAAGTGTACCTGAGGATGAGGAGAAAATGTTATGAAACAAGAGAACTTAAGTAACAGTTAGATAAAATTCCAAAGGTGAAATTAAAGCTTCTAAGGTTTCAAGAAAAATCATGGGGCAGTCAATGAAATCAGTGCATGAGAGAGTATGATTGTGAAAAAGTAGATCAAACGAGAAGAGAAGTGATAAAAGAGTTGATTGTTCTGTTTGGATGTAATTAGAGAGCAATTTATTAGATATTGGCAGTGAAGGCGATCCTGCCCTGTTTAAAAAATGGTTGGTGGATGATTTTTCTACATCTTACAAGCAATCATATTGAAAACATATAGAATTTTTCTTTGGGATAGCTGCGGCTGGAGTCAACTTCTACATCTTCCATCAATAGCCCACCCAGAAAAGTAGTTTGGCTCCCATTACAAAAATTCCTCCCAAATAAACCTGAGGTCTACCTTTTCAGAGGTATTATTTGGGGCAGGGGCGTAAAAACTTATTGAGCATGCGACCAACAGGTCATCGTCAGTTGAAAACGAAAATGGGATACCCCTGAAAACAGGTTTTGAAAATAGGGAGGCCGCCATGCGCTCGCATGAAAATTTCCTATTTTAAAAAGTAATATCAAGAAGCAAATCTCGTATTTTTTGCAAAATTACGGCACTTTATACTTGCAGAGATAAAAATGGTCATCACTATGAAATAGTTGAGTAAAAGGGGGTTCTTGAAATGGAAAGGAGGCTACAAACTTTCTAAACCCCTAATTCAGGAGGTGGTAAAGGAGGAAGATGATTTGATTTCTAAGATGATTCAGACTCTACATACTTTTAAATACAGCAAACCTCGAGATAGGTTAGGTTAGGAGTCTGATTGGGATTAAAATAGTGAAAAAGTTAGATATAAAGACTAAGTTATCATATTTTTTACAAGATCAATAAAATGTTGAATAAGTGTAAAAAAACCTTGCAATTCTGAGTCAGAAATTGTGGTGGTGAAAGAACAAAAGCAAACAAAATGAGAAACCGATTGAAATAGTTACTCTTCACTTCTTCGAGATGGTCATTTTTCCTCAATCCTGTCCAGCTGAAAAATTATGTTTTCATGAGCTGAAGAGAATTCCAAGCTAACTTGAAAGAGAGGCAGTTCTGCAGTTTCTTTTTCAGATCAGTTTCTTTTGTTAAATTATACTCATTTATTTCAAGATTTAAAACTTTCCTGTAATAAAAACAGGTCGATGCTGATTCAATGTTCGGTGATAAAAATGATTTCCTTTTCTGTCCACAAATGCAAGTTCAAGAAAAGTACAAATGAGAGAGAAAACTTCATGTGAAATGGACCTTGCACAGAATGTTCTTTGTGATTTCCTGGGCATAATGAGCCTTTCAAATCAAACTGTTTAGGGGCTACTTGGAAGAAAAGCAGAGCTGAAAAGTTAATTTTTTGGTAATTCTGTGCCTAATGTTCTGAAACAGTTCATCATCTTCTTAGACAGCATGCTGCAAGAAAAGGATTACTCTCCTCTATCACAAACATTGCTGCTCGATAACACCAACAAAAATTCCCAAAGAATCACTTTTTAGCCCTGCTTTCCTCATATTTGGAACATCGAACAGTTGATTTTGAAAGTTCACCGTGCTCTAAGAGTTGTAAAAAACATCGTATTGGACAATTAAGAAATTAGACAGGTACCTAGTCTCTTAGATTTCCATACAAAGAGTCAGGAGTAACTTTTAATTTAACCAGTCGCAAATTTTCTCCTGAAAGTCCAGAAAAAATATTTTGAACATGAAAACAGTTTATCCATAACCTTCAGTCTTGCGGAGAGATAAAATTTCAAACCTCGTTTTCTTGATTGCAATTTGGTGTGATTCTGTCGGACTATTTGCGATAATTTTGCGACTAAAATTTGCGAAAATTTTTGAGTGAATGAAGATTTTGTCAGATAACACTTTGCAAAATTTGAACGCAAGTAAGCCTCCTAGTTCTCACCCTTTCAAATGGCCCTGATAATTTTAGAAAACATACATTTTTTTTTTGTTTCTCAGATAAAAAAATTCCTGCATTAACTGGAGCTTTCTAAAATGTGTTCTGTTACATGCTGTGTTATCTTAGCTTTTTAGAAATCTCCTGGGAAACTTTCTCAACTTTATTACTTAGACGGTGAGAATTTAAATTTAACATCTTAGAGAGACTGAAAATCAACTTGGCTAGATCATTGTCTACCTATGCACTTACTTGTCTGGCAACCGTGTATTCTTCTCACTGGAATAGGGTGAAGTGTTGCTGACAGGCGGTGAGGTTTGTCTCTCCATAAATTTGGTTGCCAAATATTGAAGCACGCGATTGGTGCCGCCATTGATGATGTCCTGCCTGATGTCCAGAGGATTTGATTTCACCGAGAGAACTTTCAGGTTTGACAGCTTGCACAAAGTCGATGGCAACCTTAAAAATTACAACAACAAAAAATAAGGAAATCAACCATAACTGCCACAGAAGGACTTTCTCAACTAGACTTTAAAAAATCTCCTTCCTGCTACAAAAGTACATCTTGTTCTAAGATAGAAGTTTCCCGCCATATTTTACTATTTTGACACAGTATTCCAACTTCCTCCATAAATTTTGGGTGCCATTTGGTTGGGACGCCGAATGTTCCAGCACTTTTTCAGAGAGCAGTGTTTGTCACGTTAGATGAAAAAATCAAAATTTGAGTTTTTACGGCAAGACATTCTCCAATTAATAAGATAATAGAATAAGTTACGAGCTCATGTTTGAGCAAACAGAGAGCCTAATCCTCTATTTGGTTCCAACAATTTTGAGCTTTGAACACAGCTAAAAACTTGGAACAATTTCGTCCGAATTTCCATTTTCTAAATTGAAAGAACTGTTTGATATAATGTTGCAAGATGATTTAATGCGAAAATTTTTGTACACTATACCTCGAATCATACCTTAATTTTAAGTTTTTGGGAACAGTCACAAACAAAAATTAATCAAATCTACACTTACTCCACAAGAGAATTGCTTGAGACATTTAAATTGGTCAAACTGGAGAGATAACCTAATTCATCAGGCAGCTTGGCAAGATTGTTGTTGGAGAGATCCATGATGGAAACCGATGAGAGGTTTTCTATATTCTCGGCTGTGATTACCTGCAACGAAGAACAAATCGACGATATTAAAACAGTGCAAAATATCTATTCAACTGTTGAACTTTGATTCAAATTCGAAGAAATTTAAAAATCTTACTTCATAGGACACTTCTCGAAGAATTCAACTGATAGACTTAGAAATGGCTACAACAAAGCCACAATTGAAGTTTGAGAATAATGCATTGCATCATCGTACTGCTGTCTTCTCACTGTCAATACATAGAAACATGTTGATCGTAGAAACTGGCCTGCGCTTATAGGAATTTTAACTTTGTTCATTCTTGATGGGTTCTATTCAAATTGTATTTTCTGCTCAGATAATGTGGAGGGACATTAGTTTAAAATGAACAATTAACCTTCCAAATCAAGACACTGAATTCAAAGAATTGATAATTAATATTTACTTCAATTAATATTATAGCCTCCTTTCGACCATTAATTCATTTTCATTCTCTAACACTAAATAGTTAAGTTCGCTATTGAAAAAATAAAACAATAGAGAAAATAAGACAACAAATGCAGTTACTCAGAGTCCAGTTGAATGCGTCCAAAATATAATTGGACTTGAAGAACACCAAGAGTACATTGCTGTACTTACTTCTTAAGATTTAATGAGAGTAAAAGAACTTAATGATTGCAAAAAGATGAAAAGCCTATATTTCATGTTTTGAAAAATAAATTTCCTTAAAATTATCATTACCATTATGTTATTGTGACTGAGGATAAGTTCCTTTAGACGATGGCACATCTTTAGACACGGAAAAGATGAAATCTGGTTCCTGGCCGCATCTATCATGTGTATGCTGCTCATGAACTCGAAAGTGGGAAGTTCCGCAACCAAATTTTTCCCAGCTTTGAACACCTCAAGCGCTGAAAAAAATAAAAGAGCATAAGTAAGAAAATCCAGTAGATACAATTTCCTTTGAACCTACATCATTTTGAGAAAAGCTCTGATTCCATGATATTTTTTCACATTACAGGGTTCAGTTATATGATTAGAAAATACCAATTTGCTCTGATATGCACACATCCGATCTTTTGAATCAAATCTAATTTTCTGCTTTTCAGCTCAAAGAAAATCTGCAATGGCATTCCAGATTTATGGGTTGACTCGCTCTAGTGAGAACAAGAGAGCACAATTGTTGACCTTTTTCTATCATTTTGTTCATAATATTTTTTTTTATTGAAAGTGGTTCAGTCATTAGTGAGACTAAAATTGACCATTATGATATTAGTAAAAAAAAAAAAAAAAAAAAAAAAAAAAAAAAAAAAAAAAAAGAAGAAAACCAGAGACCCTTGGAGAAAAATACAAATGGTAATGGACACATACCATCCGAAAAACGGCTTTAAAGATTTTTGGGCAAAGGGTTGTAAAATGAGTGATAATTTGAGAGTAATTGCTAAGTGAACGGGTATTGAAGGTCTGTTATTGAAAAGATGTTATAAAATGCAAGTTGTAATTATTCACTGTCTTTGGTTTGTTCAGGTAAGCTCTTGTAATTTGAAAAAAAAACCATTGAAACAACTGCGCAATTTTCAATACCAGGAGAGAGTAAACTAAAATCATTATTGTAAAAACCACACACAAAAAAGGCCAATTGGCAGGAGATCAGAGAAGTGCTGCTAAGCATCGTGGAAGTATACGAATGAATAAAAAAAGTACACTTCAGAAGGCTGAACAACAAGAGATAAGGTGATGAGACTTTGAAGCAGGTGTCCACAAACATAATGTAAAAAGAGATGGTACGATTTGCGTGGTTGTGCATCTCTAAAGAGCAGTGTTCTACTCAGAACGACACAAGAATATTAACCACAAAAATAAGTGTTGAGCTTGAAATGGGACACGACTTCATTTGGATGATGTTTACTTCTCTGGCTACTGAAAAAAAAAAGGATCAACATAGCACAACCACTGTTCCGCGTTGCTTAAATATTCAGAACGCTGAGTTCTTTTCCATAAATAGACAGGCATAGTATTATGAGAAGGGATTTAAGAGGGAATTGACATGATGCACTATGGAGCTGCAAAATGCATTAATCATTACTAAATTCGGACTGCAAAATGCACAAAAAGTGCAGCCAGGACAACAATATTTTTCCTTGATTTAATGGCTTTTAGGTAAGAGAGGGGGCATTGATAAAAAATTGAAAACCTCTAAAACATTCCATGCTGATTCGCAAAACAAAAAAGAAAGGAAAAAAACTCAACTGGCTAAAAGAACCATTCTGAAATTTGGCTCAAAACTGTGATGGTTTGGAAGTAATGCTTTATAACTGTATGGTATTGAAATCTTTTAACTCTGTACGATTGATGAACTGCTGAGATAATTGAAAGGCTACTTAGGAAAAATAAACTTTTAATGCATTCACCTTCATGCAACACCATTTGTACAATCCATCTCATGAAATTCAGCATAATGCAAAAAGAATTCATAAATACAGGTAAGTAATCGATGAAAAGAAAGTTAAAAAACACTCGAGACAAATGCTGCAAAACTTAGGGGTGAACAGTGCATAAAAAAGTCACAACAAAACTGTAAAATTTAAATGACTTGATAACAACAGAAAAAAACAACATGAAACTTGAAAAAAATTGTGTCAAAATTCAGATTGCTAGTCTTGGAATAGGAAAATAAGTCTCAAGTCTTTGGAAATATTAATGCTTTGGCTCCAATCTAATTTTGCTAATTATTGAGAAGAAAAATAAATGTACAAGGTTTATCATGAGAAACGATGACTACAAAATGACTCATAAACTGGGAAAAGGTAAAAAACAAGATGCAGAACGCCACAGAAGCAAATAAAGACAAAATTCTGGGACATGCACCAAGGAAGAATGCATACGCGACAGTTATCACTGACCGGTGAGAAACTTCAGCTCGAGTGGTAACTCGCAAATCAAATTGCTTTCTAAATTCAAACATGTCAGAGAGACTAGTTGACACATAGAGATAGGGATGCTGTCTATTTTATTATAACTTAAGTCCTGAAATAAACACATTTTAAAATGAGCTTCCATATGAAATTTACATGGTCCATTTCTGGAATATATTGATATTTGTTGTCCTTTTTGCGGCAATCAGAAACTACCCTCTTCCATTTTTCTCTAGGAGGCTCTCCAAATAAAACAATGAAAATTTTATGAAATTAAGATTCGTCTTTGCCTTTTATAAACACTAGCAGAAGGACTCTCAAGAATCCTGGCTAGGACTTGAGGAGACTGGGTTCTTTCAGCAATTGGCCATTGAACCAAAAAAGTGAGGAGTGAAAAAGATGAGAAATTTTGCAACGTTAAAATCCAGCTGAACTGATTTGAAAATTAACTTGGTTGAAACTGATGAATCAGACGCTATAAACTAATTAGCCGTTTCCAAAAAATTTAAAAAAAAAAATTGACTCACATTAAGAACCTATTTCATTATGTTTATTTTTTCATTGCAATTTTTCAGGATGAAGATGATGAAATAGTACTTTAAATCTGAGAATTCTTACAGCTATTGCTAATTCTTTCAGTGAGAGTGAAATAGAAAAAAAAAATTACAATGGAAGGGTACTCACTAGGAAAGTTAGCGTAACAACGTCTCCTATTTCATAATCTACTTTAACCAACTCGTTGTTTGTCATAGTTAAGACTTTGAGCTTTGGGAGTGAGTAAACAGCCATCGGAATCTGTTTGAAATGGTTGTGATTTAAATTCAATTCATTCAAGTTATGGAGGTAGGACAGTTGGTCAGGTAAAGCCTTCAAAGAGTTATGTTGAAGCTGAAAACAAGGAAGAATGAGCCATTAAAAAGATTAACATGATATTAGATTCACGGCCATCCATAGAGAAAAGGACCTCCAAGAGTGGAGGAAAATTCTCCTGTAGAGTTTTTTTCTCTATCCAGGTAAATAAATCTAAACTTGAGCTTTTAAAAGAAAATACTAAAATATTAAAAAAATAACGATAATGAAAGTCGCAAAACATATATCCAATTGCAACACAGCAGATTTTATGGGAGATTTTTTTTTTCTTTTATTTATTTTTTTTTTTTTTTAAAAAACTGACCAAAGTGAAAATTTCAAAAAATAATCTTCTATGGTTTTTCTTTAAAAAAAGGAGACAATGGCAGAGATTGAAACACCGAAATTAAGAAACATGTTTTGCAATGTTCATCATTGATAAATTGAAAGTATTACAAAGTTTTTTTTCCCCCCCTAAACAGAGCTCAAGTTGCATGTTACCTAATCAAAAAAATTGTTGGAACTTTGTCACACTGTTTGAATCTGTTGTTTTGCAAACCCTTTGGGTCTTTCATATTTAGCTTCAAAATCTACTTATTTTATTTCTGGTCAAATATTCTTGCAAAAGAAAAAAAAAATTAAATCAGAAGGTGGAAGCTAAAGGAGCTAAACATTGTATATTGTCGCAAAGTTGTACTTGACAATATATTCATTTACTCAAAAAGGTGGCAAATTTTCATTTGAAATTCTTCCAGAATTATCTTTAATTTGATAAACTCCAAAAAACCCAAAAACTTGGGTAAAGAGACTCCGGGCAAGTCACCATCCTCTTGCCAAAAACCTCCAAAAGCTCTTCTTTGTTCCCCTCTTCAGTGGAAAAAGAAAATATCACACTACGACAGTTTCCATTTCTGTCATAGAGTACCCCAAGCGGACCAAAGAACGGAACTCTTAGTCGTTTACACATTTACCTATTTAANATTCATTTACTCAAAAAGGTGGCAAATTTTCATTTGAAATTCTTCCAGAATTATCTTTGAAATTTGATGAAGATTTATCTGAAATTTTCTATGTAAAAAATCATCCTTAATGAAAAGAGAGCTAAATTTTCAGGTGAAACTATTTAATTGAGATGTAATTGGACTTCAATTTGAAATAAAGAACTACAATTTCTGGCTTATCCATAGACACCCTTATGCGCATAGGGAAACTAATAGTGCACTGTGCACATGTTTTTTCTAAACTGAGCCAGATATTGTAGTTCCTAATTGGACCGCATTTTGCAATTTGGAACTATAAATTCTGGCTCATCTGACACTTATGTGCACAGGGAAATTAATGGTGCAAACGTCGTTTTTAAACCGGGCCAGAATTCATAGTTCCTAATTGCAAAATGTAGTCCAATTGCAAAATGTGGTCCAATTATGGTCTTGTGACACTCACTTTTTCACATGCTTCACGTGTCCATGATACATACTCAATTCATAAACTGAACAGGCATAATAAACGATCTCAGGCTTGACGCGGCAAACTAATGACACTGCTTAAAAAGTAGCTTGAAAGTGAGAGTGATACTTACATTTAAGTGAGTTAGAGAGTGAACAACAGATAATTGACTAGGTATTTCTGTTATGTGATTGTAGCTGAGGTCGATTGTTGTCAAACAAGCTTCCTCCCACCACTTTTTTGATTCAACATCATCAAAGTCCACCTTTCTCCCTCTTTCTGGTTCGTTTTGCTTGGTTAGAAATGTCACTACGGGAACAGCTGAAGAGAAAATATAGAATGATAAAAATAAAAATGGAGCATATTTCTTGCGGTTTGATGGTTCAGGTGTTCGAATCTGATGAAATTCCAGGTTTCAAACAGTGAATCAATAGACAAAAAAATTTGAAACGTTCATTCAGAACAAATTTTACTTCAAAATATTTTCTGAGTAAAATTTTGTGCATGAATGTCTGACACACCACAGCAAGGAGAGACTTTCAGGGATTTTTTAAAAAGCTTCTAAAAGTCGCAAATTATTGACTGATCCATTAACCACTGAAACATTCTCCGCATCCTTACCCTGGCAGGATCCTTGATCTGTCCTTTCCTTTTCCACTGCTCTTACATTCTTCTATTTTTCAGTCAGGAATCATCTTTTCTCCTCAGAATCGCCGAGTTTGAGTTTTTATCTCCTTCAATTTCCATCAAATTAATGACTGAAATAACAGCTGATGGCTCTGTAGATTGTAGCAAGCCTCTCAGGCTAGTGGTCTCCCGGACTGTGATGTCAAAAAATCTAAGTATTTAGGTGTAGACTGCCCCTTTTTCTAGATCTTTCCTTCAAGACCCGTGAGTCCCACATACACTAATCTTTCGATCTCTTGGCGTTCATTGTTTTGCATGACTTCCGGTGTAAAATCACTAAGTAAGTTCCTACTCCTAAAATAGTTTGCATGACACCTCCTCGTCTAGTTTCTTTTCTCATTATACTCTTCTGTAAATGACCTGTAATTTCCATGTAAAGTACGTTACGGCATAGTTCACGCAGCTTAACTTCTTATCTGTCGAAAGCGTACAAAAAGTTGAATAGGAAATTGAACGCAAAAAAAATTTGATCCAATTGCCATTTTTGAACAGAAATTAAGCGTCTCTGTATGCTTCCGGTTGAGAAGATGCAGCTTTGGCTGAGGTCAATTGAAAGATTTCATTTCAATTTTCCATAGATGGAAAGTGGAACAAAAATTTAGGGTGATGGGTCACATTCAAGTTTCTGTTCAACTTTTCATCTGATTTTTGATAGTATCACAATCCAACTTTTCATTCGACTAGAGCAGCAAAAAGGTGGAGTGAAAAGTCAGGATTAAAAGCTTTGAAAAAAAATTGAAAATCTCAATACCCACTCACTTTGATTGTGACAACATTCGTCACTTGGTATAGATTTCAAAGTACTTGGGTTTGATTGAAAATGATTTCAAACTAGCATGGCTAAAAGTGTTGTGTTGAATTGCTTATCTTGTTAAAGTAGAAAAATCATGCAGGGAATATTACCAGAAACAAGGCCTTTTTCACTGAGCTGAAGGACTCCGGTGTCTTTCGCTTTCATAATCACATCCGTGGTCAGAACTTTGTCATCGTCACTTGGGTGCTGATAGTTGAAGATCGAATTTGGAGAGCCACTGATAATTAAACTAGACTCATTGGCTTTGACCCTTTGTCGGGATAGAGACCTGAGCCTTTTGAGCTGAGGGATTCCACTGGCTTTACGGTTTGCCATGATAAAAGACAATTTTTAAAAACCGATATCGACTTCAGGTAGAGGATGAGACAGGTGATTGTAACACCTACAGTTTCATTGACAGGTCACAAAATCACATCAACGTACTTCACAATACACTTAACTGGTTGAAGATTCAATTTTCCAAAGGGAGTAAATTCGAAAAGGAGGGGCATTTTGTTATGATGAACATGCCAAAAGAAGACAATTAAGTAACAAGTGACTTTCTTCACAACTTCAGAGCTGTCAAATGTTATCAATCAAGTCAAGGTCGGAGGAACAACCATCCATCAATGATGCCATTCAACCAACGAATGCCATTTCGTCATTGACGTATAATACAATCTAGACCGCGCATTACGAAATTCAAGCGAGACGATAGGCAACCCAGCAACACACAGCAAGTGTACCGGCGAGACAATGGTGGAATTCGTGGAAATGCCAGTCTTGCCAGTGCCGTTGCCTGACACGGGTACACTTAGCTCGTATATCCGGCGGTATCAACTAGGCTGAAGGCGCGTCTTTACCCTCCTAGCTGTCTTACCCTCCCCGCCTAAAGTCGGGCCCAATGCGCGGTCTAGATTGTATTATACGTCGATCAACGATTTTTCTTATCTAACCTAATTTCATTGTTTACTTTACTTCGACTTAATCGACTTTGTAATTGTGTGTCTTCTTGGTTTTTGCGCAAAATTTTTGCTTTTTTAACCCAGAGCCTCTCCATAACAGTCCCCCCGTGTTTGTAGTGACCATGCTCCTCGATTACATATCAAAAAGAATGAAGTTTGACATTAAATTCTCTCCGTAAAGTTTTTGTTCCATAGTTTTCATTTTGCACCAGGATGAATTCGAACAGCTTACCAGTATCTGCTTTGCTAAAGAGCAAAGATGAGATTCTGGACGAAGAGCCGAAGAAGAAATCTCGAGAGGATTGGCGTAAAGCTAAAGAGTTAGAGGAGGCCCGAAAATTGGGTACTGCTCCAGCCGCCGTTGACGAAGAAGGTAGGGATATCAATCCACACATTCCTCAGTATATTTCAGCTGCGCCATGGTATTATGGCACTGCAGGTCCTACGTTGAAGCATCAGCGTATCCAACCAGACCAGAAAAAAGAGTTCTCCCATCTTGATGAGTGGTACAAACGAGGGACGAACTCTGAATCGGTTGCAATCAAGTACCGTAAAGGAGCTTGTGAAAACTGTGGTGCTATCACTCACAAGAAAAAAGATTGCATGGAAAGACCTAGAAAAATAGGTGTCAAATATACAAATGCTAATATTGCACCTGATGAGTTTGTTCAACCTGTGTTAAAGCAAGATTTTGATGGTAAACGAGACAGATGGGCTGGCTACGACCCAGCTCAGTATCATACTATTGTTGAACAGTATCAAAAAGTTGAAGAAGCAAAGCGAGAACTTAGAGCCCAAAGCCTAGCTGAAAAAGAGGAGGAAGAAGCAGGTGAAGAACATGATGAAGATAAATACGTAGATGAAGTGGATATGCCTGGAACCAAAGTAGACAGCAAGCAACGGATCACGGTGCGTAATTTGCGAATTCGAGAAGATACAGCTAAGTATCTGAGAAACCTGGATCCGAATTCTGCTTACTATGATCCCAAAACCAGATCTATGCGAGAAAATCCACTACCAGGTAAGGAAGACCCTGAAGAAAGTGAATTTGCGGGTGAAAATTTTGTCCGGTTTTCTGGTGATACTAGAAAACATGCGACAGCCCAGTTATTTGCATGGGATGCGCATGAGAAAGGTGTTGATGTCCATTTACTAGCCGAACCAACTAAACTCGAGAAGTTGAGAACAGAGTATGAGGCGAAGAAAGACGAGTTCAAGCATCAAATTCAAAAAAGTGTGTTGGAAAAGTATGGTGGAGAAGAACACCTAAATGCCCCTCCCAAGGAATTGTTATTAGCGCAGACAGAAAACTACGTCGAATTTTCCCGAGCTGGTACCATCATCAAAGGTCAAAAGGAATCGATTCCCAAATCTAGGTATGAAGAGGATGTTTACATCAACAATCATACCTCTGTATGGGGCTCATACTGGCATGATTTTGAGTGGGGTTATGCCTGTTGCCATTCCTTCATCAAGAATTCATATTGTGTCGGCGAAGCTGGTAAAAGTACGCCCCAAGTTGTGCCAGGAGAAAGTGAGGCAAAGCCCACCACCTCTTCCACCACAACTCCTCTCTCAAAATCTTTCTTTGCGAAATCATCGTCACCCCCGCCGTCCGAAGCTGAGGAGCCTGGAAAATCGGAGCCGGCTGAATCGAGTTCAGAAGAGTCAAGTTCAAGCTCATCCGAATCGTCTGATTCTGATAGTGAGGAGGAAAAGAAACGGAAGCGGAAGAAAGACAAAAAGAGGAAGAAGAAGAAGGAGCTAAAGAAAAAGAAGCGTGAAGCGAAGAAGTTGCAGAAAAAATTGAAGAAGCTGGAGAAACGAGGTGGCGACGAGAAACTGAAGGCTGCGTTGAAAGCGGAAGCTGATTCTCAGCGAGATGCAGATAGGATGATGAAACTGGACGAAAGAAAGAGGCCTTACAACAGTATGTTCGAAGTCAAGAAACCAACCGATGAAGAAATGGAAGCCTACTACATCAAGAAGAAACGAGATGAGGATCCCATGGCACAATTTTTGTAGGCTCAGTTTAAAGTGAGAAAAATATTTATGTGCATCTCCTCTTAACATTTCGTGTAGGGCTCATTTTAAATTTTTTCTGTTTTGTTAATTTTTTAGTTAAGCTTACTGTACATCTGAACCACTGTAATACTTATTTGTACATTTGTTTGTAAATATCATGATCATGTATTCGACATGGTTCTCAGGTTTTGTATGTCAAATAATTAAATTAGACACTGAATCTCTCTGAAAATTAAGCATAGTAATTTCTGTTCCTCACTGACAGTAAATCACTGACTGCTGTTTGTCCTAATTTATGGTGAAGGAAATTCACTCAACTCCAATCCCTTTCCATAATTTGTTCTTGAAGGGAAAAAATGCTCAGCTCCATGCCAATACCATGCTATTCGCCTATTTGCTACTCTCAATGTCCTCTTGATACATTCTGTCATGCCTCACTATTACTTACATCTCAAATGTTGAACCTCTCAATAGTTTAACTTTCCAAACCGAACAGTGTGAACGCATTCTCCTGTATTTTCTAGGTAATGTCAATTGCTTACTCCACTGCTTTTAATTTTGAGAGAACAATTTTAGTTGAATCTTCTCAATACTGATATAATTCATTTGACTGATTGGACGCAAGCATTATTCATTGTCAGTCCACTTAATTTTAAGATCACCTTGTGATATTTTGTCGTTTCCCCCACTAAAGAATGTAACTACAATGCGATGTTGCCAAATTTCTCCTCGCAAATTGCAATTTAACTGTAGAATATTGAGCACATCTAACTCAAAATTTTATTGATTTTTCATCTGATATCATGATAAAATCAGAAAAATGTTGGACAAAAATCGCCCAAGTACACTCTTGTAAATAATCAAATTGTTTGAGTCAATTTTGCAATCTTGGAATGGAGTTACTTTCCTTCGTAGGGGAAACGATGATTTGACAACGTACTTTTCCAGCCCTGTGGACAGAAAAGACATTAGTTAGAACTAGGGAAAGAAAAGAGGAGACAAATGTCACATCAGAGAAGAGCATCGTTCAACATACATTATGTGGTAACTAATGGGCCACCTGATGATTGATGCATTCTGGTTGATGTGACATTTGTCTCTCCTTTTCTTTCCTCAGCTCTATCTGTATCATTCGTGTACATAAATTTTGATTCTTATGGTATTATGAATACGCAGCTATTTTTATATTCATGAGAATATTCAAATATCTAAGCATTCTTTTTTTTTCTCACGTAAATTTCAAATAAAAGTTGACTTATTTTTTTGTTAAATAGAACATTTTTTTCTTTCCTCCTGTTCTATTCAATTTCTTTATTCGATTTGAGAACAAATCGAATTTTCTGTCTGCATTGGTTAAAAAAAAACATCAATTCCTAGATGTCTGGCAGTAAACTAAACTTATGACCCTAGGACTCTTAAAAATTTACAAGAAGAGTTTTATTTTGTTAAGATTGCTTAAAAGCCGACGTTTGGGTATAATTCCTCAAGCCTTTAAGTCCACTTTTAAGAAACAGAGAAATACATGAAATTTACAATGAATTGGAACTTGACTGACTTGAAAATTAATTTATTACCACATTCCATTATTTTACAAAACAGCTTACAAATCGATTGAAGAGAATAACATAAAAATAGGAAAACGCACAGGTACAAATTAGGAATGAAAGCGTAAATAATGCTGTCGTAAAACCAAACATGGATTTTCAAAGGTATGTACAGAGTTGGAACAACGATTTTTGAATGATAGCTCTCTTTGCACATTGAAACCATCATCAACTTGCTCAATCTCAAGGAGATCAGGGAGGAAGAAAACAAGCGATCAGGGAAAAATGTAATAAAATATTACTGGGAAAGAGAAATTGCTAAATAAAATAAAAACTGATTCTGATCTTCAGAGTATAAAACGACAATTAATAAAATAGAGGGGAACTCAAACAGACGAAGATAAAAACAAAAAAAGTTAGACGTGATCCACTAAAAGGAGTCTATCTAAAGAAAGGTACACAAAATAAATCGAAAGAGGATTATTCAGTATCAGAACAAGGAGCTTTTAAAAACTACTCAAGACACCGTTAAAAGCCAAACCTTCCTGTGTAAGGACTTTTAAGCAATTCTCACATTCCACAATACGAGGCTATCTCCATGAAACTTTAAAAAAAACCTTTTATCTGCTCGGTCGTTGAGTCGTCCACTATTTAGAATAACCAATGAAAATATCCAAAGTTCAAATTTCGCTCAAAGCAGATTCTAAACTTAAATTTTAAAAATCAACCTATCTCTTAAATATGTGTATATTTTTTCTTGTACCTTCGAAAATAGATAGACTCCTTCTACATAAATGCGTCATAGTAATCATACATGCGTATAACATTCATACAGGTTACCAAGTGTACACTACACTGCATTCCCTTCAAGCTTTTTTGCTGAAAAAATTACATTTGATAAAACACGTGAAAATAATTGGTCTCCTTGTGCTTGTAGCGATACTTGTGCAGCGGTAAATGCATGGCTGTAAACATAACAAGGATAATTAATTAAAGTTAGGATTACTGCTTGAAAACTAAAATTATAGTCGATTTACAACTAGATAGTAAAGATTAAGACTGCCCTAGTTTAGTGTAGGGGTACAATGAAAACGAGAATATGTACAACTCACTCCAGAAGTGTATTTTTTATGTGCTTCGCTAGCACAGTAAACAAGATAAAATAATGTTTCTCCACATGTAAACAGATATGAGATTAGATAATTATCTCACAACACTTGATTCTACAAAAGCAGCGATTCGTTCCTTCTTCGACGGAAGTCATGACTTATTTTCAGCAGTATTTTGTTCAAGTCCTAATGCCCGGCGCAGCAAAACAGCAAAAGTTTCTTTCTCAGCAGCCTCATCCACTGAAAAAAGAAGAGTAGGTGAAGGTAAGTACACATCAACAATTTCTACCATAAGAAAATAGGGGGAAAAAAAATCGTGGAAGAGAAAGATATAGGCGCACGAAAACAAGAAAATGTTGCACTGCCAAAGGCTCCCAATTCTAAGGCAGTTAAATATACATGCACTATTAATTCAATTAAAAAGATCTGCTCTGTTGGAAAGGTCAGTTTGTGACCATTCACAGGAAAAGGGAACTTGCTGAAGAAATCAAAATTCTTGCCACAAGTGCTTGGAGAAATGTTTAACTAAAATTTTGACAAAAAAGAATGCTAAAAATGTTATGCATAAAAAATTCATCCAAACTAGAGTGGTCGTTTGTGGTTTAAAAACTTACAATTCGAGAAAAATTCTGATGAAGAGCTACTTAAAGATTTAGTCCGTCATATTCGGAGCTTAAGACTGCCTGCTTAAAGCGCAACTTTACTTACTTTACTCGCACAAAAGTATCTATTCTTGTTAGGTTAGGTTTGCCTGTTGGGAAACAAATAAATGAATAAACCCTGTCACTTTTTATTTGGAACTAGAGAGTAAGTTTTTCTCTGAGAACTCAAATTTTGCCTTTTTGATCAAAAAAGTCCATGAAAATAATCACTTTCCTGAAAATTTGCTTTACTACACTAAGGTCATTTTTCTCTTGGACAGTCACCACAATAGCTACATTCTGAAGACATACTATACTAATTTCCTCTCATAGTTTATTTTTTAGGAGACAAAAAATGCGTTCACCATAACTTGAAATTCCTTCTTATTTCTTAAAAAAATAAGGAAAACATCATGGAATTGAGGAAATACAGGGTCGACCAAAAAACAGCTCTTATCGATACCCCTCTTGTTTAAAATGTGATAAATGGTTGCAGCTGAAGAGCTGAAATGGAATTTTCTTTGCAGGCATTTTGAAATATCGACTGAGAAACACAATAAGACAGAAAAACTGAAATTACCTTCCCCAGTGACTTCTTGTTCCAAGTTGAGCTTGGCCTCTGTCACTTTGTACAAGTCCTCTTCGAGCGTATCCTCAGAGATGAGTTTAAGTACGGTTACAGGTCTCGTCTGTCCTACACGATGGCATCTGTCCTCTGCCTGTTTGTCATTGTAAGGATTGATATCTATATCATGGATGATCACAGTGTCCGCAGCCGTCAGATTGATACCCAGACCACCAGCACGCGTTGAAAGGAGGAAGCAAAATATCGAAGGGTCCTTGTTGAATGTGTCTATGAGTTCTTGTCTGAAATACAAAGAAGGAACAGCGCAAGGTTGAAATTTTTCCTCTCCGTTTTTAATTGATGATTTTTTTTACATAATAAGACTGAGAAAAGAGGAACAATGATACTGATTGAGTTTTTGACGAGACTTCAGCCATTTTCTTGCTGAACCTTGCAATCTTTACCTCAATGAGAAACTTAAAGGTCACATGAAGTCATGAACAAGGTATGAATTAAGGCATTTTCATATGGGTTTCCTCTTCAAAATTTCATGTAGGACATGACTTTTGCGATGAAAATGACTGAAAGTGTTTCACTCTTGACAAAGATATTTACATTTTTACTCAGCACTGGTTACGTAAAATTTGAATTTCTTGCTTGCAAAGAAAACAACAGTCCAAGTGAATCAAATTCAACTTATAAATGAAACATCCGCAATTTCTGCCACTGAAAATTCTAACTCCTACACCTTCAAAAAAAGAAAAAAAAAGATGTGAGGTCAGTGTGGAGAAGAAACGTAGGTGACATCACACATTTTTCAAATTTCCTTAAAGGAAAAAAAAAACATTCAAGAGAAAAAAAAGGAGAGAATGAGCGCATCTTCCTGATATTTACCTCTCAACAACTGGGGTGGATCCGTCTAATCTCTTATACGTATGGTCGTTGGCAGTCAAGTATTTTTCTATCAAATCTAGGACCATAAGAAACTGACTGAAAATCAAAACTCTATGCCCCTCTCTCTTCAAATTTGGTAAAACTTCATCGAACTTGCGGAATTTCCCCGACTCCAAGAACAATGACTCAGGTAATTTGAAACGATCGTATCGAAGGCACTGCAAACAAACGAATAAACACATAAATTTGAAGTAAAGTAGTTAACCATCAAGAAATAGGTAAATTCTCAGTCTGGTTTTTCAAACGTTTCTAATTATGAGAATGATAGTTCTTCGTGAAAGAGAGAAAAATCATAGAGAAAAAGTAAAACAAATTAAAATGATACATATCATTCTTAATTGGACGTATTTCTATCGATATAAGTGCCATAGGGGGAGGAGGGCTTGGATTGGCGGGTGTTGCGGAACGTGATGCTCGTATCATCTTATACTAGCAATGCTTTTCCATGGCGCTTCGTTCCGTTTGACAGAACGCGCTATCCGGGATTCTAAAATCATCAAAAGGAGCTCAATTTGGCGCTTAGTTCTGTTTAACAGAAATACGTCTAATTGTCATTTGGTAGCAGGCTCATAGACCGTCACTGACCAGAGACAAATGTCAAGAAATGAGAGAGGGAAATATATCAGCCATTTTACATAGTTTTTTCCCAAAGCATAAGGTTTCCAAAGGTTTATTCCTCAGCATAACAGATAAGTCCTTGAGATTTGCTGGAATTGTTTATTTTTTTTCTAAAACCAGATTCTAAGATCACTGATTAGACCCAGAAAAACTGCATAATAAGTTTACCTCCCTCTTAAAATGGAAAAACAAGCAGTTTTATAAAATTTTCAGACCATGTGGATAATCATGGCTTTCGAAGCGTTTTAAGGGTGATAAAAAAATCATTGCAAACGATTTTTTGGCCATTACTTGAGAGCACCTGGAGACCCTAAGACGCAGCTTCTCTTTGCTTTGCTACTGATCTTGAAAAGAAGTTGGGAAAACTTACGTGCTAATCAAATAAAGAAAAGGATGTACCTTGAAATTATCTGAAAGTTGATGGAGCTCGTAATCAGACATGAAAACTAAATCCTGTACGATGTACTCTACGTTGGTATCTTTGTAGTCCGGATCCAGCGCCAGACACTCGGCCATTTCTCCCACTTTGCCGTCATCATAATGGTATCGCAGCAAGAGTGGATGGTTTGCCATTTTCCTAAGGGACGTGATCATTGTCATGTATAGATTCTCGAACTTCTCCGTCTGTTTGAACTCAGCTAGCAATTCGTTATACTTGGACGCTTGTTCAGGAACCATTGTGCATTTTATCACAGACACATCTTTCCTTGGTAGGTGCTTTAGTACATTGCGCTTCAGCCTCCGCAACACGAACGGCTCCATGATCTTCTTCACTTGATCCACCTTCTCTTTCTCAAAATCAGGCGAGTCTTCCGTGATAGGTTTCTGGAAATAAGAATATATTTAACTTACAGTGTCACTGATGCAAAGCTATGGTTTAGCCAAATGAAACATTCAATAATTGAATACCACTCAGAACAGAACAATCTACAGTAGGCCTTTTTAAAAAGAATGTACCTATTTCAAGGATAGATTAGGCTGAAATTCTTGCTCTTGAAGGCGGAGTTAAGGCTTCATTCCAACAAAAATTTTGCATAAATAGCAAGACAATGACCTTAGAGTTTTGGAATATTTTCCTTTTGAAATTTTTGCAGATAGGTTTGATGTTTTTTTTTAAAATAATCTGCTCAAATCAGTCACTTGTATGCAAATGTTAAAAAAGAATTTTCCAGGCCGAATATTAAGACACAAATTTTTCTATTGGGCACAATATTCTCTATCGGTAGGTCCAAAATACAAATACGCTGAGTTTTTTTTAACATTTTAGTTACGATTTTCCTGCTCCTTACTAAAAATTGTGCAATTGAAGGCAGATAAGAGAATGAAACACTTAGGGCCAACTAATGTTAACACGGGCAGGAAATCAAAGGAATAGGTTATGGTTTAAAACCATGCGACTGAATGTATACTTACAGTCGATTTGCCTAGAATGAATTTGACCGATTCCATATTTTGTCTGAAAACTTGAGGCATGGTGAAGTTGAGGAGCGACATCAATTCCAACAAGTTGTTTTGTAGCGGTGTTCCTGTCAACAACAGTCGATTCTTTGCCTGAAAATTCACAAAAAAAAGTTATCAATTTTAAAACTCAAGAAAAAGAACAACAAAATAATAGAAAACATAGGATGATAAAATCAAAATGTCATCTCAACTGCGCAAATTAAATGTGTGAGTTTTTTTTATTCTCACTTTTCTCTTAAACAAGTTATTCAACAGAGATCAAAGGTCCGCTGATCTAAATGGTAAAAATGATTGAAATCTTAAAAACTTAATGCTAATATTTTTTCTAATTTAGTTATTACAAAGCAAACAAATTTTTTTAAGACCTCCCCTCCTCCCACAAACTTCTACCAGTTTTTGGAAGAAAAATTGTCAGCAAATAGTTTTTTCCTTCTGAAAAATCAAGTAATTTCTAAAATATGTAGTGCTGAGAAGTACTTAATTTTGGTGCCCTCTGTATCAGGTAATATAGGCTTAGCACTTCTTAAGAAAGTAAAGAGAATTTCTTCAAACTGTATACTGCATACAACTGCAAAGTTTCAAAACTGCTACACCAAGGAATGACGCAAAAGCCCTAAATGAAAATTGAGCCAAAGTTTTGGTCTTAAAAATGAGGTTGAAAACCTTACGTTGATTAGGAAGAGCCTTGAATATCTTTGGGTGTTCATGTTTTTCAACATATGAGCCTCGTCAAAAACGACGTAATGGAATTTAGCCGTTTTGGTGAATTTTGAGTCCTCTGGGTTGTTGCCAACACAATTGTACCTGAAATGAGAAAAGAGTGAAATGTCACTAACCGGGTTCTTTATAGTTCCTTAACTTTCAGATTCCCTGACTTTTTTTACATTTCTTTAACTCAAAAATTTCTGAATTCCCCAACTCAGGGTTGCCACAGAATTTAGAGAATGAATTTCAATGACACTTCCTTAGCGCATTCCCATAATATTCCCTAAGAACTGAATTTTAATGGTTGAACACCTGAAACTTGGACTGGTGGATGGACAGACCCTTTGATTAATCTATCGACAATCTATGCCTATCAACAGATGACATAACTGGTCGATCGACAGTAAATTCTACTGGTGCATCGACTTACAATATAGTTGAAGTCCAATCTTTCGCCAATATACCAGTCGCATCTCTTGTTGATTCACCAGTTGAGACGCCCCTCAGTCAACCGATCAAATTTTCTGTTGATCAGACCAGTCAAATGTTCTTTCACCTGATCAGTCAAAGCCACAGCCCATCAACAAGCTGAATCTAAAAATGTCTTGTATTTGAAACGGAAAGAAATAAAAATGCCTACTGGCAAATCAGCTGAAATCCAGTGTACTCTAAAAGCAGCCCATTATCGTAGATTTAAAATCTATGGTCAAAATGGCAAATGAAAACTTGCACTATGAATCAGAAGTCATGTTATTGCAAGAATTTGTTGCTTGGGGTTGCAAAGGAAAGTCTTGACATTCATTTTTATTCAGCGTTTCTATTGCATTTAAAACAAAAGTTAAAAAATGTGATGTTTTTCTATAAAAAAAACTGAAGTCGAGAGAGGATATTATAATAAATGAAAAAGTATTTAGACATACGTTGATAGAATGACTTCAGTGTCTCCAAAACCCTCTTTGTTCCAGAAATAACGCATTTCTCTCCTTTCCTCTAGCGTACCATGATAAACTTGGAAACCTATGCTCGGACACCATCTGCGGAATTCGTTTTCCCAGTTAGCTGAAACATTGAGGAAAATGGACTTTAGAAAATTTGTTAATCAGACAGAATAAAACATTGACTTAACATTGACATATTAACATTGGCATTTGTCTAAATTCAATATTTTTTTAGAGTTTTTCCAATAATGGTGGACACACAACTAATGACTGACTGCAGGTCTTTGAACAAAGATATGCTCCACTTTACATTGAATTAAAAAATGCTTCGAACTATCTTCCGATAATGAGAGAATAGAAATCAGCAATATAAGTCTAAGGTATTTGACTAGTCGCACATTTTTTTGTAGGTTTTGTTCTTCTAAGAGGGTTCTTCAATGGAGATCGAGATGTCTCACAGTGGTAGATTTATAATTTTCTAACGATAACTTAGCAGATAATATTGATTATAATGGCAAATTTTTAATCAAACTACTTGTGGTGACACACAGAATTAATAGACACTAATTCTGCTATTTTTTACGATAGGAAATTTGTAAACACTTTGGACATTCCCATGGACTGAATCAGACAAAAAGGCACTCAGTCACTTTCTGGGAAAAATGAGTAAGGAGTGGTTTTGGGTAGAGGTGCACAGTCATGGAGGAATAAAACTTAAAACCGCTTTTCCTTGCTTTAATCTCGATTTAACTTGACGTCTCTTGATCTAACTTGGTCAATATCTGATCGGTGTTTTTTTCTAAAACTTTGGAGAGAAGGAAATTTAAAAGCACTTACCAAGTGTGGAGGAAGGAACAACTATCAAATGAGGATGTTCCACTAGTTTCTGTTCTTTGAGATAAGCTAGAAAGGATATAACTTGGACGGTCTTTCCAAGACCCATTTCGTCTGCTAAAATTCCACCCATCTCTAAGGAATGCAGAACTGCTAGCCAATTTACTCCTATCACTTGATAGTCTGATAGCTGTAATCTGCAAGAAAAAGAAGAATGTATGAAATTAACCAATATTTCTGAGCGCGCAACGACTGTAAAATCTTAAAACTGGTGTTGGAACATGTGTCATAAAAATGCTACACCGACTGTGCTTTGCAGATACCCTGTTCTGTGTTTTTGGGTGACCGAGCCCTACTATTGAAGGATGCCAAGTTGATATTGCTATACATTTTCGGTTTTTGCAGAAATATACTTAAAAAAAATCAGTTCATAGGCTGTTATTGCACCCAACAATCATTTTCGTTGAAATTATTGAGAAAAAATCATTATAATCGTACAAAATTAATGCAAAATGAAGGAGCGGTCAGTATCAGCGACATTCGCAAACCAAAAACAACGTTATCAAGTTGATGAACACATGAAAGGCCTTCACAAATATAGGCTGTTATTGCTCAAGAGGCCTGACTTAACTCGGGAAAAAAGGGTTTTTGACCTTCAGCCGTTACCTAACTATGTTCTACCTATACTACAGTATAGTCTAGGGTACGGAGAATCCAAAAAGTTGATGGGAGCAATAACAAATTATTCACATATAGGCTATTATTAGCGTGGGATCCTCAATTTCACCTATTTCTCCCATTTTTGCTGATACCTGAAAGAGACTTTAATGAATGTTTCGATAAGAAAAATGTTCACTTCAAAGGCACTTCAGATTATTTGAAGTCTGTCATTCGAAATAAAATACTTTTCAGAAAAAAACCATTAGAAGTTTCAGTCTTCCAAGCTCACGACTCAAAATTGTTAAAAGTAAATGCAACTGTACACTCTTTGATAACACAAAAAATGAACTCCAAGGCTTGCAATTTGAAATATGTGCTAGGTACAGGGTGTTTTTTGTTAAAACAGAAATTCCGAATTTTCAAACAAATTTATAAACCTCACTCTTTAAGAACATTTACCTCTGTTCATTATGGTATCGTTTCTAATTGACAGTCTGTTATACTTCTACAAACACAAAACACTAAAATCTATTTATTAACTGAGAGCTTCTATTTAAGTGGTTAGTTTCTGTGACCCAGAATTTTTCTTCTCACAAAAATTTTCACGAAATTTAAGACTGAGGCAATTGAGTGTAATTTTTCCAGTGTGAAACTTCATAAAAATTGACTTAAATTTGAACATATTTCTGTCAAAAGGACCTAAGCGCCATAGGGTGAGGAAGGTAGAGGGGGGGCTTGGATTGGCGGCGGAACCAGGCGTCGGGATCATCCCGTCCTATGCTCTCAATGCTTTTCCATGGCGCTTAGTTCCGTTTGACAGAACGCGCTATCCAGCATTCTAAATTCCTCAAAAGGAACTCAAATTGGCGCTTAGTTCCATTTGACAGAAATACCTCCATTTGTGAGAAGCACTCAGAATAAACACACTATGAATTCACTAAACAAAACAAGTATGAATTAAGACTATCTCATTGTTTCATCCAAACTTACTCAGGGCTTAGCAGCAAAGGTTGTTTCGTCATTTTCCCTTCATTTGATTTGATTGTTAGCTGCGTCTTCTCTGAGATCTTGGAAACTCTCTTGATGAGCGAGGAAAAAGCTTCTCTCGCTCGAAGCAAGTCTGAGACATTTTCTAGCAGGCCTAATGGAATTGAATTTTCCCTTAAATGGGTCACCTGCAATGATGTTTAAATAACTAATTCGGTTATCACATATATTAATGAACACATGCATGAATGACAATCTGGATTGAATATAATAAGTGGATTAATTGATGGGGATCATCTTTGTTGTTACATACTGATAGATGATTCTTTCGTGAGCTCAATTTTTCTTGAAATTGGGCTGAGTCCTTGGAGGCAGTTTAGTCAAAATGAGTTGTATACTTACCAACAAAATGCCTGATTTAACCTTGCAATTTCCTTAGAACAGGGATATGTATTTTAAATTGCTGCCCAAACGGCATATCTACCATAAAAGCTACATACAAACTAGTGCTGTTGCTGATTTAGCTAAAATTTTACCCAATAAATTTATGTGTACTCACTAGTTCAAACCAGTCATTAAATGGCCGTTTTGCTGTGATAATGTCGATTTTCCTCTGCGTCATCGATGGTACTTGCTTCAAATCGTTGAGAGGGCTTTCCGATAGGAAACTCATGATTTTCATTGTGCTAGTCAACTCTTCTGGTACGTACTCATCTGAGTCAGTCATTTCTTCCTCCGTCTCAGAATCTCTGTAAAACAAAGATTGGATGTTTTGAAAAAGGACTTGAGTTCAACAATTTATGACAGGTAACATACCTTGGATAGGAAAACATAAAAATTAGAAGAGGATGAGAGAACGGAGGGCATCCTAGGAAATTAGGAGTACTTTTAAAAATGACTGAAAGCTATGCTAAAAGTCAGGAGAAAGTTGGGTTTCTATCTCTCCTAAGAATAGAATTTTTTTACTGCACCATAAATTGGCACTTCAGTATTTGAAACGAATTTATCTGCATAGCAACTTTAAGATGAGACACTCTAGCAGGGTGTCTACTAAAACAAGCTGACCAAAAATTAGTACTTTCACAGTTCTTCTACAGTGCATTTCCAAGAAATTCAGTACCTCCTTGACAGAAAAATTCAGTACTTTTTCAGTCCCTCCGTTTAAAAATTCGAATTTCTGGCTCAAATTGTGACCACAATGACAAAAATTCCGGACCTTCTTACGGAATTTCCGCACTTTTTCAGTACTTCCGGACCGCCCTTAAAAAATCAGAAGTCCAGAAGACACACTGTCCTGACTGATCCTAAAATTCAGTTCATTCCTTGGATAAATACACTTCATCTTAGATTATTCATAGTAGATAGACTTCTTTACATAAATACAATAAAGTGGTCAAACCTCTCAATGATTTGTTTTTGTTTTTTGGCCTTCTTCTTGGATTTCTTCGAGGATTCCTCATCGGAGTCAGAGACACTTTCTTGGACCACCCGCCGTTTTTTCTTTGGTTTTTCTACTGCAATAGAGAAATTAGAGGGATATTAAACTTTCTAAAAAGAAGACAGAAGAATCAAAATTTCACATACAATTATTCGATAAGTAAATTTATAAATAATTTTATTATTTACTAACTGTAGATACTTCAATATTTACTTTGTAATTCTGTTCCTGCAAAAGTCCTCACACATTTAGAAACTACTATGTGAGCTGAAACCTGTTTAAAATGAACCAGTAATGACTTGTGAAAATTTTGAAACCTTCCGCATTCTGTGAAGGGATGCTATGTGTTCGGCTCACTTATAGAGGAGCTTGAACTTGAAAAGGATACTTAAATGAGGGAAAGTCATAACCAATGGTGATGAAGAGTTTGTATTAATCTAACAGATATAGTAAGATTTACTCACTTGGTTCTTCTTCTTCCTCTTCTGACGAATCATCATTTATCACAACTTTTCTCTTTTTCTTGATACTTTTGATGGGGCTGTCGTCAGAGCAGTGTGCAACATTGTGTTGATACTGTTGGTTTTCAGAGGCTTTCTGCTGCACGAAACTTGCAAAAGTATCATTAAACGTCTTTGGTGAACCGAACGAACTCCCTGTCAAAGTTGTTTTTTCAGGAGTCGAGGGAGTGTTCTTACTTGGACTCGGATTACTATCAGAGTCGGAAATCGTTTCAATTTTCCTTGTTGAATCCTCCGAAGATTTCTTTGACAAATCATGGTTTCCGTCTTTCGAAGAGTGACCAGAACTCGAGCTGCTTGACTGGTATGATTCACTGGAGCCAGGACCCGAGACATCAGCTTTACTGGTTGAGCTTTTTGTCACATCTTCACTTCTATCACTAGTTCTTTGTTTGGCGCTAAAGTTTTTGCGAAAGTTTTTTAATTTATCAAGCGTGCTTTTATGTAAAGGCTTTGGGCTTGGCTGGGCTAAAGGCTGGGGTGAACCCTCAAAATACAAAGAACTAGGAGACTTAAAACCGGGATGACTGGAGTTAATGCCATAACCGATTTTGGCGAGAGGATCAGCGAAATTGGGTCTAATGTGTCCATTCGGAATTTCTGGTTTTGTTTGCTTGTCAAGGTCTAAATAATGTTTTTCTTCTGTCGATTCGTTCTCTGTGCCATTGCATGTGCGCGAGACTTCGAGAGGTGTCAGAGGTGTTACTGCTGTCGGTTCTGGAACCACAAAAACACATATAAAACTTTAGCGGCCACAGTTTTCACACAAATGGTTAGATAAAAACATTACATGCATAGGTTTGCTTACTACATGATTCTGCTTTGAAGTCCTTACTGGCTAAATTGATTTTCTCAAGCAGGAAAAAGTGATGTGCTCTGCAAACCAACTGAGCAACAGATAAGACAATATTTTGTCAGTTACTTTTTAGCGAGATTTCACAGATAGATAAACTTGGATCTTCATATTGTTCTTATTCATGCTTCATTTTTATACATACTTGTATATAAAGCAACAATAATGAATGTACCTAAAACAATTTGTAAAAAAAAGCAAACGGTTAGTCTCTACCAATAAAGAATTCTTAAAAAAATTACTCACTTTTACCGAAATAGTCTGTTAGTGTAGTTTTTGGCTGGTGCTTGAACCGCTCAAGACTACTTAAAATGCTGGGAGAACACTGGGAGCTATCGGATGATTGGCTACCGGACATGCCTGGAACAAAATTGCAGAACGTAAGGGTATGATATTTCAAGAGGTCTCAACATCACAGCTAAAATTCTGTTTCAGTGCAAGCGCAAGGAACTTTCTCAGTGTTGAAAGCATTTTCGTATTTACTTTACACGGGGGAACAATTTGTTTGCACAAAAGAAGATTACACGCTAAGTACAGATTTAGGGATCATAAGTATTTAACCTAAGTTATATATCATGTCAATACTACTACTATCTGAATTTTAACTTGTTTAAAAATTAAATCTATTCCTATCTACCGAAGTACTACGAAACATTTTGAAAGCGCAAGTTAAGAATTGCAGAAACTGAGAAACAGACAAGCAATCCTCAACCTTCTTTTCTTAGCGACAAGAGATTGAGATAGGGTTTCCCATTGGAGAAGAGTACTTGGGCAACACTTGATTTCAGGCTTGTTGCTCTCTAACACTTGAAAGAGGGAATTTCCAGTATTGATCTATGTACTCAACACCAAACTTCAGGCAATGAAGATTTTTCATCATTCCAACTGGCAAAACTAGACAAATCATTGAATGATTCATCAAGTGCAGCACGTGACACCCCACTATCTACGACGACTTAGTGAACTTCAGGTATTGTAAAGACATTGTTGATAAACGTCTCGTTCTACAATGCAGGGATAGAGAATTAATATCCAGGAAAAGTTTTAGTTTCATAAACTGAAACTTGAAGAGACTGTATTTCAACAGGATATACACAGCATTTAATGATCCTTCCTGATGAGGGAAACTCAACAAATTTCTTCCAGTATGGAGGAGCAAGGATCATGATTGAATTACTGATACGACTAAATTAGCAAGCTCCAAAATCACTTCAAAGTAATCAAGACCAGTTCAGGCGCATCAAGAGAATCCTCATTTCTTTATGGCCGGCCAGCATCAGTATGCAAAAAGAAATAGATGGTGGCAAAAATTTAGGCGACACAAAAATGAAAGTGCGGTGAAGTCGTTCGAGCATAATGTTGTGAGCAAGGAAATTCAAGTTTTAAAATGTGAGGCTGCGCATCAAGAGTAGGGTTAATCAGAAACTGCGAGCAATGATAGAAATGGAGCAGATTTTTCGCAGAAAGTGCAAACGTGAACGCAGATTGCAGGTAGGGTAGGGGCAGGTGGAGGAATCTTCTCTAGAAACAGATACAGCTGAAGGGTTTCAGACTTAGAGGGGTAATATTTAGATACAACAGTAGATATTAAGTATGAGTGAAAAATATTGGAAATTACTTGTTCATCAAGGCTGCTAAGTTGAGAGATGTGAAGACGGAGAGATGTTAATAAACAAGAGAAAATTTTTGCGAACGCTAGCACAACATAACCTAAATTTGCATGAACCATGAAGTAGCGGGACTTGTCGCTTGTCGCTTATCCATGGCCGCAACCCATGAGGTTTCAGGAAGGTTTGCGCTTTACACCGGTAAGTGTATTTCTGCATTTAATTGTCGGCTTTATGCTAAAAAAATTGCCTGGTATAGAACTTCATGTTACATAAATTATGTTCCACGGCCGGAAGAGAATGAAATAATTTCTCCGCTGCGGATCGGCTTAATGTAATTGGGAAATAATTGCCCCGTTTGGCAATTGTGCAATTGATAATTACAGATGACACGCATACCTTAGCGCAACCTTTCGGATACTTAAAGTAACTAATGTTTTCACGCAAGTTGGTATACTTGGTGCACAATTGCTACCTATAATATTAATAATTATAGTACACCCTCCTTAGTCAGATAAATATGTAGAATTCTCGGGCCTCATGGGTCTTCAACATGAAAAATAGATACCGGCTTTAGCAAGGCGCTGAGCGGTGCAAATATGGTAGGTAGTATTGCCTATCTGATTAATTGAAGGCGTTTTAAATGGCACGAGAGTTATACGCGTGAAACTTAAAGGTACCTCTAGAAGCAAGCAGAAGTAGAGTACCTTTATAGACAGAGTATGGCCATTTCTTTACCGGTTTTTCATTGGTCGCGAGCGAATAGGCTGACACGATGCTCATAGGGCCGTCAATAAACAAACAAGATGGCTGTTATCAGCACGTAAGATTGAGGTTACGCACATCTTAAATCCTCCTGTGATAAAGGTAAAAGGCGATTTAAAAATGTTTTCGTGTGTGCGAGTGTGTGTTTCGGGGCACCCGGATTCGGGCTCGCCACTACCACCGCGGACCGAATTTAGAGGCCCACCCTGTATTTTTGCGAGTGTGTGTGTGTCCCTATGACGAGCCGCGGGTTGCCGCATCTGATCAATGAGTGGGAGAGAGATAGACGATAAAACGGCGGCTTGTCAAAGCCGAGTAGGCTCCTTTTACGTGCCGCATCTGAGCAATGAGTGCGAGAGAGAGAAAGGACAAAACAGCGTATGGAGCAATCCACGTTGAGCCTTAGTCCCCGTTTACGGCCGGTCTTTCCAGGGCTCATGGTCGGAAAGCACTCCGGTGATTTTTCGGGGCACCCGGATTCGGGCTCTAGACTACCACCGCCGACCAAATTACGAGGCCCACCCTGTATTTTTGTTTTTTTCGTGTGTTATTCGTAGATATGCTAGTTTAAATTGTTGTTGCCGTATAATTGAACTTTTTGTCAAATTTAGCTTCTTATCGATGTTACGGTGAGTCGCCATCTTGTTTGTTTAAATATGGCCCGAAGAGCATCATGAAGCCTAAAAACTCGTTGACCAATCAAAAAGCGGAACAGTTTTCCTGTAGTAAAAAGATACGAATGGCCATACTCTGTCTATAAAGGTACTCTAGGCGGAAGCAGCCCACATCTCAGGGGGAAGGAGAGGGAAAGGAGAGATCATTATATAATTTTCACTAATATTTCTACTAGACTTCATTGCGTTACAGTTTCGCCATTGCATCGGGGAAATTTTTCAGGTGTGTTTAGGTTTGGGTTGTTGCAGATTTCCTGTCGCATTTGCACTTAAACGTCAAAATTAGTCTCCTGAAAGGAAAAAATAGAGAAGTCCAAACAAGGGGCACGACTCGTTTTAGTGGGTAGGTTTTAGGAAGGTCTAAATATTATGCTCATATACTCAATTTTTTTTGCTTCGAGGGCCGCCATAATACAATTGTACAATTGACCATAATACAATTGCCATAATACAATTTGTAATATACAAATTAAAAAATTAAACACTAAAAAGTGGCCTGAAACTGTATTTAACAAGGTGGAGAAATGGTGCTGGGTCCACACCATTTCGCGGGGAAACAAAGCCAAGAAATACCAAAAATTAAAATTAGAGTCAAAAATAAATTTTTTAGAACTCTAATGCGCACCAGTATGAAACTGAGGGGGGGGGGAGAGTGTTCAGCTCAGGCAGTTTGCAATGGTGTTGTAATATACATTTACATGATGCATTTTTCGGTATAGGTATTGGACCGCGTTAGGCAGAAAGGAACCAAGCCACATTAGCTACTGCCACATTTAATTGGGCAATTTGATTTTTAACAGAAAAACGGTTAGGCGCATTTTTTTTGCGAATTTCAGTGACAATTGCATGAAATTTTCAAAAATATCCGCGAAAACGTTCTCTCCTAGAAAATTAAAGTTCTCTCTTAGATTTGGAAATGGCTGGTGTGGCTTGATTCCTTTCTGCTAAACGCGGTCCAACTGACATTGTTGCGATAAAAATCAGTAATGTTTCACTTAAAGGGCACGATAGACAACGCTGGTATCAAGTTCGGTATGAGAGAAACAATCAAATTAGTGTCGCACGAGACGGATGAATCTCATCATAGCGCCTGGATGCAACTATTCGGGCTCCATGGATGTCCGTATTGCATACGCACAAAAGTGAAGGCGTTTTGACTCTTCAGACTTCACCTCACCAGCAGGGCTCAGTGAAAGCGAGTCAATGAGAGCAGTCAGACAAAATGTGGAAACATTAAAGCTCAAAACGATGTTGATACGGAACGGAAGGTTTTAGAAATGGTTTCGTTGATTTCTTGCAGTAAAAAGGAAAAGGTGATCCAGATGTAGTATGAATCCAGCAATGACTGAACCACATCAGAACTATAGATCAACTGATTTGCCCTATTTTTCTGGTCTCTCATCATGCGGTGCAGATCTTTCTTCTGCTTTCCAATCAAATTCAGGGCAATTTTTTTAATAAGAATTTTTAAAAATGAGATATAATGACAGATTCTGAATCTGTATTGCGCAACCAAAAGAAACACCCTTGAAATAATTAGAGTAGTAAGTAATGATGGTCCTTTTCTGCTGAATGATATCCTCATTAGAAATGTATTTCAAGGCGCGTCTGATCGATAAATGTAGGGGTCTGAATTAGTATACATGCATAAAAATAATTCGTAGCTACGGAGAGTGTGGTGCAGAGGTTCTCTTTAGAATTCATAAAAAAATTCGAGGCTCGAAACAGTCGACATTTTCCCAACTCTATAGAATGCGAAGTCAAATAACTCACAGTAAAAATTAAAGCGATGCGAGACGAGGGTTGTCCCGGAGCACTTTCATATGCCCGCAATTCCAGAGATTTCCGCGATTTTCGTTTTGTTTTGCTAGTTGGTTATTTTTATTTGAAAATGGAACGGGACCCGCTACGCTGGTTGCATCGCTCTCCCTTGCAGGCGCTGGCCAACAACGAAAAAATCCCGAGTCACCGAGGTGGAAGTTATCGCCAACGAGAAAATGTATCATGGTCCTGTTTCTGGGGGTTTCCGCCTTTGTGCAGGAAAAAAATAGCTCTACGCTAGAGAGAGGCTTGATATCAAAAACAAAGATGACCTCAAATGCAAAGAGGAAGGGTGTAGATCGGATCTGACTCTACATTTCTCCTATGAGTTTTCAACGAATTTAGACACTGAGAGGATACATCAATGGACAAAGTGCGAAACCACGTATCTCCGTTGCGGTGTTTCGAAACTTCCGCTCCCATTGCATTTTTTCGAAGGGAAGCAAGCAAACTTTGTAGTTCAAAATTTATACAAAATATTCTGCCAAAAGAGAAAGAAAATCAATGAAGTTTTCAAGGTATTCCGTAGACTAGTTTCCCAAAGAAAAAATAAAGTATGACAGGAAGTCTGCAACGTCGCTTTGGAGATATCTAGTTTCGCACTTTGGCTATCGATGTATCGCCGGTGAAATTCTCAGAACCACGTATCTCGTTTGCGATGTTTAAAAATCTCCGATCCCATTTTATTTCCTTGAGGGAGAGCAAATCAACATCAAGTATTCGTTGACATTTTTACAGAATGTTCTTTGAACAAAAATCACAGAAGTTTTATAGAAGTAACGTTTCATTTAGAAATAAAGTAAACGTTTCCTTTCATTAATATAAACTTCGAAGGATTCAGACTTTCAGCGATTCTACCTTTTTCTATTTCACTCGAGAGGTTGCCAGATTGTGCGATAAATGTGAATATTTCACATCGATTTGAATTGGGAAAAAGGCTTAAAAAGCAACTTATCTGGCAACAATAGAGTCCGGGAGGACAACGCCTTCAAACCTTCGGTGATACCACCCCACATACCATTCATGTTAAAATTGTTACGCGGTCGATGGAGGTGACTCCCTTAGCCTGGCCCGGGTCGAAAACTAGCACTGCTCCATTCAATCTAGACCACTTACTTTAAGCATACTTATTGTTAGTACATGGAACGAAAAGAAAGCGCAGGGAAAGGAGACGGAAAAACAAACCTTGAAACAACGAGAACCAGGTAACGAGGCTCATTGACAAGTGGGATTTTTTTTGGATCCACACATTTGAGAAAAAAATCGAAGCCTCGCTGTTAAAAAGAACTCATGAATATATCCCGATCACGATGGCTCTCATTCTCATATTCAACTTGACGTGAAAGGAACTGTAAAACTGTGGAGCATGTAATTCAATGCACGTGTTTTCTTTTTCCGTTGATGTAAATCATTTGCAGACGATACTTTTTAGCATAAATGCGTCCATGCGGGGTGCTCCTCCTATTTTGGTGTTTTGCTATTCCTCTCCTTAAAATTCACGTCTCGGCATTTCCGCTCTTTTTTGGACGTAAGCGCATCATCTACCCCTGTGCTTAGCGAACTATGCACGATATCGAAAATAAACACACAGGATTTCGATACATCGATCGATTTGGGATTTAATGGAGCTCTCGGATATACTGCTCGGCAGCACACATCTGCTTGTTGCTCAATACAGTGTCTTGTTTTCGATTACGATGTCTTGTCGACACCTTTTCTTAAAACCCCAGAGTAGTGATTCTGCAAAAGTCACCCCACTCACCTCCCCCCTCTTGCACCCGGGCCTGCCATGCAAGAACTCCATCCTTAGGTCACAAAAAACCAGTGACGAGGCGTGAATGATCGATTATCGATATTCCCCCATTTGAAGCTATGGTAAAAGATCGATCATTGAGATGTTCGATGCGAACACCCTGATATCGATCCTTTTCTAGAGTACCTGTATAGCGAGAGTATGGACAGATCGCTTCATGAAGGGCTTAGGGCCCAAAAGTGCAGCCACCCTTCTAACCAACTTCTAACGCACAAAATTTCACTGCCAGTCTGCAGGTTCCAATTCTAACCAAGATGGCCAAGAATGTACATAAATGAGCGTTCTTCCGCAAAATTGAGTAAATTTATGCAAAAACTGAGTCAAACACGTGCTTAATAAACGACGGTTCGTAACAATAGTATCAGTAAATCGTTCTGGATAATTGAAATTCATAGGTTGGCTGCATTTCTGGGCCCTAACTTTATTCGTGGAGGCATCGGTGAAGGCCTGATGGACTTTCGGAGTTTCACATCTGTTCATACTCTCGCTATACAGGTACTCTATCCTTTTCCATAGGTTTAAATGACAGATCTATCGATAAATAGCAAAGCACGCCACGCCGCTGCAAAAAAACACATGTAAGAGCACAGAGCGAACAAGTGTCAGAGCCGTGACTCACGAGTCACGATAGCTCGGAGACCCCGATGAAGGATGTGCCCGGGCGACAATCGGGAAGGGGGGGGGGGGGGGGGGGGTGGGGGTGGAGAGGGCAAAAACCACATTAGTGGTCCGGTCCGATTGGGAGATCGCGGATCCTGGATGCGAGGAGACGGGGTGGCTTTGACGAGCACTCACCGCCGTGTGCCGCGGGGGGCGAAAACACCCCGAGATGAGTCTACCTGGCGAGGGGCGCGGGCGGCGGGCGGCGGGTGGGGGGTGGAAACTGGGATCCCCGGGGGATGCCACAGAGGAAGGATGAGGGGATGAGGGGAGGATGGGAGGGGGAGGGAGAGCCGGGAACTGACATACCAGGACCAGGAGAGGGCCACGATACGTTACTCAGCGGAGTCGCTTCGCCCCGCTCACACGAGTCGGATCCAGAATCGGACTTCATTTTCCAACTAGGAGCTCCAATTTCTGACTCGACTGTGAAAACACTCGTGTGCATAGAGTAACTAATGGTAAATGCGTTGTTTTTGAACTGAGCCGGAAATAGGAGTTCCTAATCGCAAAATGAAGTCAAATCGTTCGCGGGAATTGGCTCGGGAAAAAAGGAATTGTTTAAGAGATCCTCGCGCAGACGAATCGTAAGATGTGCTGCCGTGCTGAGAAATAACGCCGTTTGAGCCTTTAGACGTTGCCAAGTTTCCTTTACTAAAAAACTTGAATCGCTGGAAAAATGTTGAATATTTTTTTCCAAAATGTTCAGACAATTTTGTAGACAATTTAATCTAAAGTATTTGAATATTTCAAGGAAAAATTTGCATGGATGTCGTCAAAAATACATGTTTTATCGAGGGAAAGTTGGCAACCCTCGCATGTTCATACGGCGTTTTTCCTTAGCAAGGCAGTGTGGGGGCACTTGGGTGAATATACCCGACCCATCCAGCAGCCCGATGTTACTTCCATGCTGCAAGGCGCGGTCGGGGGTCAGGGAGGTCAGGGCCTTTGGGAAGGGCATCAAGTTGCCCATACTATGAAGCAATTTTTATCGATTTTGGGCATTTTAAGGGATTCCAAGACATTTTTAGAAATTTTCCGACCCCCTCCCCCCCAAAAATACAAAAGTCTTCTCTGGGGAAAAGGAGGAAGATATTGTAGTGGAAAAGAAAGGACACCTTGGGCCAAAAACACATGGAAAAAAGAGGAGATAGTGGGGAAAAGAAAGGGAGTAAATGTAGCATAACTAAAAATTTCATTACAATGATTTTAAGACCAAACTGCGCTACTGACCGCTTTCTATTTCCGCTAGTTTTTTCTAATGTCTTACACATTTGAGGACTTTAAGGTGATTACTACTGGAAAATCGCAATAAAAGGCGTAAATCCGTCAATCTTCAACACTCAAATATTTCACAAATCTTGAGATAAAACTGCTTAAAATTTGATGAGGAAGGAGTTCTTTTTGAAAAATTTTGCGAGGGAGGCCCCTGGACCCCCTTATCCTCCTGATATGCTCCCCTCCCACTCCCACTTCGTATATCAAAATGACTCTCCCCCTCCCTTACGATTTGGCTCTGGATCCGCCACTGCAGGAGGGAAAAGAGGCGGCTGAAGAAGAGGAAGGGAAAAAATGAGTGGGAAAATGAGAAAAATAAATAGAAAAGTAACATAAATAAAATAGGGGGGTCTGACCGTAAAACGCCTTTTTTCTGCCGTAAAAACAATTTTTAAAATTTTCGGATTTGGATGCTTGCGGACTGAACGATCCTCGCAGTGCGTCTGGGCAGGGTGGCGAAATTCCATGAAATTTAAATTCATTGCATTTCTCTTAAATTAGCCCGAAAATTTCTGAAATTGATGAAATACACGAAATTTAAAATGGATAATGAGGCAGCAAAAATGAAGTTTTTTGGGATTTTAGTGCGGGACGCATAGCTGATCCCTGAATACAGGGTTGCCACAGTCAGGGAAACCGAGAAAACCGGGGAATGTCAGGGAAAACCAGGAAATGTCAGGGAAAATGACGAAAATGTCAGAGAAAATTTGTTAAATCACCTTCATTTGCTTTCCGGAATGGGTTTGAGATTTTGAACAAGAAAATTTGCCTGAAAACTATTTTCAATGATGCCCTCTCAACCATCCTTCACATCTTCAATTGTCAGGGAATTCCACCAAAATGTGTCCGGGAAACCAGGGAAATGTCAGGGAATCTAATTTTCTAAATTCTACGGCAACCCTGTGAAAAACATGTTTGAAAATTGTGGTAAATTTGTTAAGTCTCACAGATTTGCAATGTTGCAAATCTTATGCCACCCTGGCCTGGCCCTTGGTCAAGCGAAAGGAACGAGTCTCGAGATGAAGCGAATCCGATGGGGAGGAGATCCTTCCAGTTGAGTCCAGACCCGCGGAGGGGGGGCGAGAGAGAGGGGGTGAGGGGGGGATAGAAAAGGGGATGGGGGGGTGGAGAGGGGGAGGACGGAGGCTGAGGTTGCGCGTGGCGGGAGTGCGCAGACAACTCGGGAGATCAATAGGGACCACTCGAGCGTTGCCCATGCCAGCTCCCGCACCCGCGCCGCAGCCGCCTTCCACTCCGCGTCGCCGTCGCCGTCCGTAACAGAACGCATCCCCGAGCCCGACGCAAACGCAACAACACGTATCCTCCGCATCTCAGTGTCCTCCCGAGCGCCCCGTGTCCGCAATCAAGGTAAGCCACCACTTTCCTCTCCTTAGCTCCGTTACGTCTCAAACGAATACGTTGCGTTACGCATCCTCACGGCTCGCCCCGTCGCCGACCACTTGCCGAGCAATAATCCTCCCCATAAATACTTGTGAGCTCCACTCTCAATTCCATATCATTTAAGCACTCACTTGCCCCTTCTTGTCTCTACGTTACGCTACGTTACGTTACGGAACCTTACGTCATGTCTCGCGGCGACCCAGCCATCTAACCACTTGCTAAACAACGATCCGTGATATCAAGACTCGTGAGCTAACTTTTTATATCATTTAAGAACTTACTTTCCCCTTCGTGTCTCTCCGTTACGTTACGTTACGTTACGGAGCGTTACGCCATGTCTAGGGCCATCGAGGCGACCTCGCCAACCAACCACTTGCCGATAGTTAATAAGTTTAAGTGTCAACACTTGTCAAGTCAACTTTCAATTTTTATCATTTCATTACTTATATTTTACCCTTCTTGTCTCTACGTTACGTCACGTTTACATCACAAACCGTCGCGGCAACCCTGCGAACCACATGCCAAAGGTTGATCATTTTCGCTGGTGTTAAGACTTACCAAGTGCACAATCATTCGTACATCCCATAAAAACCAAATTTTCTCTTCGTGCCTCCTTACGTTACGTTAACGTCACGGTCTGTCACGGTAACCACCGAACCATTCGTCAAATCAAAATCTTTTCTGCCAGTTCAGGTCTCGTGCAGTAAACATGCGGTGTCGTGCTTTCATGGCACTCGCTTTCCCTGTAATTTACTTCCGTTTTCATGTCACGTCATGACACGTTACGTTACGTTACGTTACGTTACATTACCTCACGTTACGTTACGTTACATTACCTCACGTTACGTTACGTTACATTACCTCACGTTACGTTACGTTACATTACCTCACGTTACGGTCCGTCGCGATAGCCCGCCGACCATTCGCGCGAAAATCATTATTGCTGACTTCATGAGGCTTGTTTCACTTCTATATTATTTGAGAAGTTACTTTTAACTCTCTATTCCAGCATCACGAGACGTTACGTTACGTTAAGAGGACATTACGTTTACTTAACGCACCACTCTACAAACCACGATAGTTTTCGCTTCCTTTAGAAGTTGCAAAAATATAAATTTGCACTGCTCATCAAGCAATCACTTTTCACTACTTTCCCTTACGTCATTGTGTCGCGTCATGTCTCTTTACGTTACGTTACGTTACGTTCTGACGCAACAATCTTGCCGTCTACACGCAAAATAATGATATTTTCGGCTGAGTGTTGTGTAAAACAAATATTCAGTTTTGTACCACTATTATTACTGTTACTACTACTACTGCTACTGCTAAAACTACTACTTTTTTATTCTTCCCCTTGGTCCGTTTCCGTCTAGATGCGTCGCCTCACGTCATGTTACTTTACGGTGTGTCACGCCCCGTTCTGTGGCGCCAATCCTGCCGGACATGCGAAAAAGATTCTTCTAAATGCTCGTTTTTGCTTATTTCAATTAAAAAAAAAGGGAAAAAAAGAGAGAGAAAAAAAGCAGACATTTACTTTAATGTAAGCTCAAACGTGCTGTTCATTCGCGTACTTCGCGATTCATTAATTTAGGATAATTTCTGTTTTTTCGTTTTGGTTACGTTCGCGTTTACGTCCAGTTTTCAAACCTCTGCATTTCTGATTTTCATTCCCATCTTTTTTGCATTTACTTTCAAAAGTTTTTTTCGTTCCTCCAGATAGAGATGCTACTAAGGTTTGAAATTCCTCCCTTAAAAGTACAACGGCATCCACGCTTTTCATGAAGTCTGCTCCTCAGAGAATACTTGTTTCTTTTAGACTTACGAATATAAAGCAACCTTTTGTTTTAAGTATATGATGTATTGAAGTTTTCCCTCCGTCTTTTTCTGTCCGAGTTAATTTCCCCTGCATCGCGTTATTGCGAAGGTTTGAGATTCTTTCTTCAGCAGCTGAACCTTATCTGTGCGTTTGATAAGTGGGTAGTGTTTAACAAAAGGGAACCAATACCTAAGTATCCTCACAAAGATGATAGCTGCTCGTTGAAAATAATCGGAGGAATCTCACGTTTATTTCCATGAATAACAATCTCAGGGCTAAAATTTTAATTTGAATGATTTGCACTTTATTTTTTCTTACATCTAAAGGCAAAAAAATAATAGAATTTCGTCGAAAAGTGATTTTAATTTGTCTTGTCCGTTCATCTTTTCTCGAGAATTTTTCCAAGTAACTAACGAATGAGTGTCTCGTTCCTGAAAACACGTGGCTCTCCTTCGCTAAACACGACTCTAAAGTGCTTTTTCGCGACTGCTTATGTACATACATGCACTGCCGTATACCTATTGAGCAACATTTTGAGTTCCAGTCTCTCTACGCACAACAACGAGGGGACTAAACATTAAATAACAAAGACGGTCTTTTACTTGACTTTAGGAACTTTACACACCCTAAACACAGTGGTTTTGGCAGACTGCGGACGGTTAAATGAACTGCATTAAAAAGTGCAGTTTCTGGCTCATTCACAAAAGCACATACACACACACATACATATATAAACATAAGATCACTAATAGCGCATATGTTGATCCTGAGATAACGCAGAAATAGTAGCTTCTCAGAATCTAGTCTGCATCCCCAGGAGCACAATGCGATGAAAATATTGAAATAATTTTGCAATAAAATTCAATTTTCCCCCATGAAATTGCAATGCCTTACATCATTTGGTCAATAAACGTGGATTTCAAACGATCGATTAAATGCGCTCCATGTGTGAGAAAGGTAAGCAATTTGTGAAGCAAAAAATTGCATCTCATTTCAAATTTATTCCAATTAAGTTCAATAAAAGGTGCCCCTTCAATCAGTGTTATAGACAACATACACAACACACCAGCATAATAACAACCACCGCGTCATTGTAATTAGTTGCGATCTATGCTACTCGGGATGCTGGTTTTACATGCGACTATGTGGAAATTTGTAACATTTTATTTTATTTATTTGTTTGTTTGTTTCTGCACAAAAAGGCTAATACAAATAAGTCAAGCTTTACATTAATATTTTAATACATTTACCAAGCAGGGACAATAATTAAATCACATAGTAGTAGGTCAAACTAAGATTTAATCCCGAGTATACTCATAAATTTCATAGCACTCGCCGTTAATTAGAAATTCTTTTAATTTCGCCTTGAAAATTTTTGCAAAACTTTTTTGTGCAAAATTTTTTTGCGCATGAGTTGGTGGATCACGAAAGATTCCTTGAAGAGAGCTCGTTGATCTGTGCTCGGCGGGAAATAACGAGATAGATCGCGCTCTCTTGACAATGGCATCTCATCTCGGTTCGGAGGTCCAAGTTCATGACGTATAATTACTGACCAGAACCGTGGAGGGGTGGGGGAGGGGAGGGGGGTGTCGGGCACTATCAGTGACTCGCTTCTGCCCCGAGCAATGGTAGCTAATTAGCAGAAGCTGCCCTGTATCACGAGTAATTAGGCGCTCGCTTATTTTCAGGCGCGAACTTTGTTTCGTCCGCGATTACATCCATCGGCCATTGACACCGGATCTGTTCCAGTTACTTTGGGGGAAAACTTATCCGGATCCGTCGCCAAATTCGGAAGCGAGCTTACATCGTCAATCTCGACGGCCCACGTACAAATCATGCGAGGGCAAGCCTTTCAAGTTTACTACTGCAGGCTATTTTTTTTTTTTTTTTTTTTTTTTTTTTTTTTTTTTTTTTTTTTTTTTTTTTTTTTTTTTTTTTTTTTTTTTAAGGAAAGTTAGTATTATATTGCATTCAACTTCTCAGGATCATTAGATGAAATTTCACCGAAACATCTCTAAAACTTTCAAAAAAGAGCTCACAACTTTTCCCTGGAGGTTGTCTTCAATTGGAGGAAATATAGCAACGCTCGAGTATCAGCACGACGTTTATACTTAACGCCTCAAGACTGATGTTCGAGCAGAGGACAATGATATCGGTAATTACGCCTGAGCCTGACTGCAAATATTCGTACTCTATGGATATCCACGTTGCATACTTAAAATTGAAGGCGCTCCGGTCATTCTCGCCCATGATGGAGTTCTCGCAGCGACACGTTGTCACGACGCGGTGTGATGGTGCTACGTAATATCCTGATCCCTGATACGTAGAAATGGTGCGGAAATATTCTTTCCTGTCCTTTCCCCTCAGTTGAATTTCATCTTACCATTATATTCATTTACGGCGCGGCAAACGTTATGCTACGTGCACTACTTCATGAATTACAGTGACCAGGACGCCTTTAATTGTTCAATGTGCAACACGCGCGTCCAAAGAGTGCGAATAGTTGTATCAAAGCGTTATAATCAACATCATCGAATGCGCTGCTTAAATGTTGACTTAGATGAATAAACGTGAGGAGCCCTGCCATGTTTAATTCTACCCGAGTGTCGTATAAGAAAATGAATATGAGAAGAGTCAATTAAGACATGCTAATATTTTGAAGTTGGTCGGTTAGAAAAAACAACTTCGATCAATCTTTTTTTCTTATTTCCTGGAACACAATTTCATCATTTGATTTTACTCGGGGGTTACCTAACACTGTTGTTGACACTGCGTCATAGCGATCTACGCCATAGCGATGAGTATAGAAAAGAATCAATGACGTTTTCAAGATATTACGTCGACTAGTTTTCCAAATAAAAAATAAAGTGTGACAGGAAACCTGCAATGTCGCGAACGGAGACACGTCGCTCCATTCTCCCTGTTCATTTTCTTTGTCTATAGCTTTGTCCATCGATTCCAATAACAGCTCGCGGTCTCCTCCCTTGAGGATGCTGCACAGTCACACACATACGAATGCATTTTCAAATCGTCGTTGTTCAGACGAAAGAATAAGTCGCCATTCGAATGTTGGGCAATCTACTTCAATTCTTTTTTTCACGCAAAAATGACGACGCAATTTCTGTCTAAAATTTCGCTGAATTTTGACGAT